TAGTCAAGCTGCTGCTTAGCACGGGAAAGGTCGATATCGACGTGAAGGACAAGATGTCTGGACAGACGCCGCTCTGGCGGGCAGCAGGGAACGGATATGAGGCGGTAGTCAAGCTGCTGCTTAGCACAGGCAAGGTCTACATCAATGCGAAGGACAATGACGGATGGACGCCGCTCTTGCGGGCAGCAGGGAACGGACACGAGGTGGTAGTCAAGCTGCTGCTTAGCACAGGCAAGGTCGATATCGACGTGAAGGATAAGATGTTCGGACGGACGCCGCTCTGGCGGGCAGCAGGGAACGGACATGAGGCGGTAGTCAAGCTACTGCTTAGTACAGGCAAGGTCGACGTCGACGCTAAGGATCAGGGCGGACAGACGCCGCTCTCGCGGGCAGCAGAGAACGGACACGGGCCAGTAGTCAAGCTGCTGCTTAGCACAGGCAAGGTCGACGTCGACGCGAAGGACAACTACGGGCAAACGCCGCTCTCGCGGGCAGCAGGGAAAAGAGAGGAGGCGATAGTCAAGCTGCTGCGAGCGTACCACCTCCATTCGTAGAGAAACCTGCTAGCATGGGTGTTGGACGACTACTGGTATTTGTGTTAAAATAAGAAGAGTGCAAATACGACAACTCAACTGAATGCGTAAAACAAATGCTTGATCGCAACTATAAGTTGGTAGAAGTCGTAGCTAAAATAAGTACAGGACCAGATGCCTCTTTGGGGAGAAAGATCACGACGGGTCGGTGGAGTTGGAGGGCACCGTGATGGTTCGTCTCCATGCCATGGAAGCTTTCGCGTTGGGTACGGTCGTCCGTAAGACTGCATCGCGAAGGGGTATGGCCAGGTGTGCCGAGGGTTCGCAGTCTCAAAGCTGAACGTATTGGTTGACTTGGCCAAGCGCGGACTAGGCTCAGAAGCCCTGCTCCCGATCCAGAGGCGGATCTTGACAAAGCTGTTATAAACCTGCACAGCCACTGCACCCTCAGCCACTGCAAATAAGTTACACACCCAGGATAAGGCTGGATGTGCAGGTCATCATGCACTAACCAAGTTCAGCTGTCGTTTCTGCAGGAAGTAGCAATCGGCAGATCAGCCTTGCATGAATCGAGCGTCCCTCGCAGCGTTACCACTTACCATAGCTTCTTAGCGTTATTGCTGGGTTCACGGACATGTATAGTAACACTCTATATGTTGCGACAGCAGTATAACTGCAGCGGTGGCCCTGTAGTGGGCGAAGGCGCTTTTGCTACCAAGGCGGACATTTCGCGGATTCGGTGGGCAGGCACCCATGCGAACGTAATTTTGTATTGGTATGGTTCTGGGGGTTTAGAAGTCATCTTAGCAAGTTGCACAGTGGCGATATAGAAGTGACCAAAGCGTGCGCAGGCTTGCTGTTGCTGCAAAGTCAAAGTACCGCTGCTTTGTTCCGTTACGGCGGTTGTCCCGTTACGCGTGGATGCACTTTAGTATGAGTCAGCGGGATTATAACATTAAGGTCGTGGTGACTTCACTATGAAGATAGTCATATTTGGCAATCAACTCTCTGTCCTTCCAATCCTTTTTCTTGGCCTTTGAAGGTCGCTTCTCGGAAGTCTTTCCATGAGACGATGGCTTTCGGACGATTTAACACCAGGTTGCTGAGCTGGGTCAAGGTCTTTAGTCTCAGATCAATTCGTTATTAATAGTTGTTTGATATCAGCTTTGTCGAGACCGGAGGCATTCTCGATGCACTCCATCATGAATCGTAGACTACTCGAATATATTCAAGAAAGGTAAGTACTTCAGGGTACTTGATAGAATAGAGGGGGTGAGAATCCTCCCTCCCCTTCTTATACCTTCGACTTGCTCAATCACACTTGCGGTTGCATTTATTCCTATCGAAGGCCGCCACGTCATCTACTCAATTAACAATACAATCTATCATTGTCTTGGGCTGTTGGGAGATACCCCGAATCTCGAAAATACCTTTGTGCACTGTCTCACACTACTTTTTCAACATACGCTCGCCACGGCTTGAGCTGCTGGAATAGTAATGGCCTGTTTGATTTCAAACACGTCATCTTCTATCGCGCGGCAAAGCGAATACATAGAGATCACACAATACCTCAAGATAATCAGTTGGTTGATGCGCAGAACAAGCTGGCAGGTCAATCTTTAGTCCCCTTGGCTCGACCTGTCCGTTGGGTCGCATTAGTGCACGCGTTTACGACTCATCCAGCTGTGCCGAAAGTTGCGCGCAGACGATGAATGCTGGGTTGGCTACTAGATACGAGATTCCAAAAACAACTTCTGTAACCGTGATCATCTACGATGACGGGCCTTACGTTCCTACAGTGGACGGAAGGTACAGCTCGTGATGCGATGCGTTTGGCCTTATGTTCTAGTCTCAGTGCGAGTGCCTGTCCAGCGAGGACGAGTCCTTTGTCCCATTGATTTCTTTGCTGTGAGTCTCGATGATCGAGCCGAGTTTCGGCATTACGCAAACTACGGCACTTTGTCGGGACGGTGTTGACTTATAGGAGGATCAGCCACGACAACAGAGACGATCGGTACTTCCATAATACTTTGTTAACGAGACGATTCGACTAGCTGTGCCACTGAGTCAAGCGTGACTATGGCGGTTGTAAGTGAGTGGGAGTGCATTGGTCTGCGGGCCTCGGCCAAAGTGTACGCACGTGACTACAGAATTGCTCAGGTGAAAGAGTCCTGCAAGCTGCCTTTGTGTCGCACAACAATGTCGCGAAATTGAAGATCGGAATCAAGCATGCCGAGGCCGCCAGCGAAAGCTTGTAGCTACCCCGTGGGGAAATATGACTGGGCAGAAGTTTGTGTTTTCGGTGAAGCGTTACCCGAGCGCATGTCATTGGGCGGCCGTGCGCAGCCCAAATCTTCCGTCGCCTTGGCTACCTCCCCCGCAACTTTACGCATGCAAGGTTAGTGTCGCCGCCACTCCTTCGACGCGGCAACAATATGTCCAGGATTTTCAGAGCGATGGGAAATGATGCCCCATTATCCGAAATATGGGACAGGCGCGACAAGACGCGAAGGCGCGCGGACGCGGCTGACCTCGCGTACCCGGGTATATAACGGCCAAGACTACCCGGATAGATGACGTTGTCACTCATTGTGCCGCACGCATCGACACTGCGATTTCGTCCTCAAGATGCGCTTCAGCACGGTGCGTGGAGCACTCCTGTTCGCATGCATTGGTCTCGCCTCAACACGTTTAACCGCCAACGAGACTTCAGCGTATCTTCAGCTCGAGAATGATCACCTGTTCGTCTCGGTCAACAAGTCTATCGGGAGGGTGGACCTCCTGGTACTTGACGGACAAGATTTGCTTGGTTCAGCAGCCTACATCCCATACTCGCCTGGAGGCTCGTCTGGCGATGGCAGATACGGTGTCGGACCATACCTCGATTGTTATTGCATCCCCGCTAGTGGACCTTCGAGCACCGGCTCTGGATCATATACGCCAGGCACCATTGCTCCAACCTACAAGCTGTTCAAGGGTGTGGATGCCCACCATGTCGCCTATGGTGGTGTCATGATGAGCGAAACATATCCACCCACAGGCCAAGTGCTGCAACAGTACTGGTTCCTACGCGATGGAGAGACTGGGTTGCACACTTTCAGTCGTATCGCATACCACAACTCGACGACGCCTTTCTTGCGTAACTTGCAGGAGTTCAGGACGCTTTTCAGACCAAGCACCGATTTGTGGACCGACCTGATCACCGACGATAATCTTGCTAGTAAGATGCCGGTCCCGAATCCAGCTTCAGGCAGCACTGCAAATTCGACAACCGTACAAGACGCCACTTGGTATATCGGTAATCGCACGGATGACCCATATGTTGAGGAGTTTGCGGATTACTTCACCAAGTATACCTTCTCGACAACTTGGCGTGATCAGAAGGTCCATGGATTATTCGGGGACGGCTCAAATAGTAAGGACAACTCCACGTTTGGTGCCTGGCTGGTCATGAATACGAAAGACACCTACTATGGGGGCCCAACACATTCAGATCTGGTCGTCGACGGAATCATCTACAACTACATGGTCTCGAACCATCATGGCGATGGTACACCAAACATCACCGATGGCTTTGATCGCACATTCGGTCCTCAATACTACCACTTCAACAAAGGCCCTGCAGGAGCCTCGTGGAGAGAGCTAAGGAACGAAGCTGTGCAGTACGCCACACCGTCTTGGAATGCGGACTTTTACGATTCGATCGCGGATCACATTCCAAACTATGTCCCGACCTCGAAGCGAGGCTCATGGAAGGCCAAGATCGACCTACCCAAGGGCGCGAAGAATGCGATTGCAGTTCTAGCCCAGGATGGCGTTGACTTCCAAGACAATGTTCTGGACACTTCAGCTTATCAATATTGGGCAGATGTGGACAGCAACGGCAAAGTCGAGATTGATCGCATCAAGGCGGGCAAGTATCGGGTGACGGTCTATGCTGACGGCATTTTCGGTGATTTTGTGCAAGATGGCGTAGTGGTACGAGCTGGAAAGTCAACCAACAGTGGCGACCTGAAGTGGAAGCCCGAATCCGCTGGCACTGAGCTTTGGCGCATTGGCACCCCAGACAGAGCTGGTGGCGAGTGGAAACATGCAGCGCAAAGGCTCAACACGCCGCAGCATCCTGAGGAGTTTCGCATCTATTGGGGTGCATACGACTATCTCGAGGACTTCCCCAATGGCGTGAACTATCATGTCGGCAAGAGCGACCCTGCGAAGGACCTCAACTATATCCATTGGTCTGTCTTCGGCGGTTATGCAAACTGGAAACGACCAAAACAAGTTGCTGGCCATGGTGAAATCAACAACTGGACGATAACGTTCGACCTTGAGAAGCACGATCTTGACAAGAAGAGAGATGCGACATTCACAGTGCAGTTGGCGGGAGCGAAGACAGCAGCCGGTAACACTGATGTCTTCAACGTGACGCAGCCGTGGAACAATTTGCCGCTCAACGTGGTTGTGAATGGGCATGAACTAGAGCCCTGGGTCATTCCGTAAGTGCCATTTGTACAATTTGCCAATTGCTCGAGATTTCTGACACGCTCTCAGGTACAACCAGTCATCTTCCTGCGCAACCCGCAGCGCTATCACCTGCTACACACTAGGTCACAAGTACAAGTTCCCGACAAAGTATCTCTCTTCCGCGCAGACGAATGAGCTAGTACTGAGCCTGCCATACAATGCAACAGACTACGAGTCGGCTCTGCTACCGAGGAGTGTATATGTTCAGTACGACGCGTTGCGACTGGAGGTTAAATAGAATATAATAGAACGCAGTAGTATTTAATCAGGATCGGCATGATCTCCCAGCCTTGCAACATGACTCGGACGCGCGTCTCCAGATCCAAGGTCAGGTCGACCTGGTCGAATGGTTCAATGTTCCCATGGGTCGCCCAAACCTTATGCTCAAGCCCAACGGTGGCCCCGGCAGTCGAGTCAATCGGTCATCGTCGATCAGCCCGACATCCCGGTACACGTCCCTTTCACTGGCCTGCATCAACCAGTATTGTGGGTTGTCGACACGCTTCGAGTATCGGACGTATCGGCCCGACCGGAAGCTCCGGTCTTCGGGATGGATCCTCGATTAGCGAACGGTTCCTGAGCTTCGGGTGCACCATCGCTAGTGCGCGCGATGGCGATGCGAATTTGTGCGCTGGTTCGCTCGCTTTGCTTGCTTCACTTTGATAACGCTGAAAAAAGGTTCTGTCAACAACGGTGAACGCCGTAGCTCAAGGGGTTTTGAATCCACTACTGACGACACGCCGCATCAGATTTATTAACGTAGAGACTGCGAATGCATCTGCCGCATGCGATTGTGCGACATGCGACGCGTTCAAATTGGCCGTCGGGAGAGAACCATGATCTACCCCTGATGCGATGGCAACGATGAGTCTGTGCGCGCCTGAATCATCCGTTAGGTTTGAGACGACTCGCGTTGACATTTTTGAATGCTGTATTGGATTTTACCTGCTGCCTAAGGCAAGACTGGGGAAGGTCACCGCCTACCCCCCATCCAGCGAAGGTCAAACCTCAGCAAGTGCAGGCTTCGTCAGCTATCACTTATGGGCCTTTCGAAAGTACCTATATGGTAATTTCAGCGAAGAAGCAGCACTCCCAATGATGCTCACATCAAGCTGCCGTAACGGCCCGACGACTGGCGAGTTAGGGCCATGATGGGCTTGCGCGGGGAAGATCCCTGCTGGCATCTTGTCTCGCAAGCCTAAACTCCCTCCCTTTTTGGCCCAAGCTCCGGCTAGATACGATCGCACTTGCCTAATGCAGACCCCTTGCCGCCATGTCGAGCGTCACGCAGTGTCGACTGCCTCTCTGTCAGCCTGCTTTTGCCATGTGGCTATTGTGCTCAGCTCCCTTTGAAGGTCCTCATGGTACCTTCAAGCACTATAACACCTTGGCGATATGCGCCCGCGTGGCATGAAACGTGCGCGTACGGGGATGCCGCTGCGAATTGTTGGTTAAAATGACGGGGCTTCATACAAGTAGAGATTAGCCACAGGAGGCTCCCGCCACTGGTGCGGCCGTGACTGCATATGGGTGGGAGAACGTGCAAAGGCGAGGTCGTGCCCCATTACCCTGCTACGCGTCCCGTTTTTTGGTTCGTAGTTCCTTTCCCCTCTCCCCATGTATATCCTCCGGCTTGTGCGCATCGACCGTGCGCGTATCCTGGTGTGAACGTGAGGGTACCGCGCAGCAACCTCCCGAACGTTAAACAAGCTACGCAAAAATAAGAAAAATTAAGTTCAAAGGGGAAGAAGATGAATACATTGGACGATGGAGACAACGGACCAATTATTCTCGGGGTCACATGGTTTCTAGTCGCATTCTCTGGCGTGTTCCTCGCATTAAGACTCTACGCAAAGATCAGTCGACATTCAAAACTATGGTGGGATGACTACATCATTGCTCTTGCTTGGGTATGTAGCCAGTGCTGCCACTCTCTCATCGACCAAAGCAGATCTGACAGTCTCAATAGGTACTCCTCCTCATCGAGTCTGCAATAACCCAGTATGGCCGGAGCCTTGGCCTAGGAAAACATGTCTGGAACGTCGATATCGAAGACGCATTCATCCTTGCCAAAAGCATATTCATCGGTGCGACCATCTCCTGCTTCGCGGCCACCTTCTCCAAAATTTCCTTTGGCATCACCCTACTACGGCTCACCAAAGGTAAGACCAAAGCATTCGTTTGGTTCTGCATCATCGGCCTCTTCGTCGTCATGTTACCGTCCGCGTTCCTCTCCTGGCTGTCATGCCGACCTACCGCGAAGCTTTACAATCCGTTCCTCGAGGGAAAATGCTGGCCTGCATATGTAACGAGGAACTATGGTTACTTCAACGCCGCATTTTGCACCGTCGTTGACTTCGCGCTGGCCTTATTACCCTGGAAGCTCCTCTGGGGTTTGCAGCTCAAGACTAAAGAGAAAATTGGTGTAGGCATCGCAATGAGCATGGGTCTTCTTGCGGGTGTGTGCGCAATCATAAAGGGCGTACATCTCCGAGACGTGACCGACGCTGACTTTTTCTGTGAGTCTTCTCCATCAGCAAACATCGCGTAACAAGCCAGCTAATCTACCAATGCAGACACGGGTAAAAACGTCACCATCTGGACCGCAACCGAAACCGCCACCGCCGTGATCGGTGCCTGCATCCCTGTCCTCCGCGTCTTCTTCAAAAACACAATCATCTCTCTGCACGACCGATACCACCGGACCGACGGCCGTAGCATCACCACCGCGAACACTGGCTTTACTACAAACGGCTCTTCCTCCGTCCCACTGGAGATTATACAATCGCAGAAATCAATGGGATCCAGCGTGTCCAGCGTGCCTGGTGCAGACGAGCTGGGCATGGTGATTACAAATGATTTTGGAAATGGCCATGGGGGGATATTGCAAACGAATACGGTGACAGTAGTGCATACGCCGAATCCGCAGGGGAGAATGATGGAGTGGAGGGGCGCAGATGTGTCGAGTCATCGGTAGAGAATGGCATTGGCATTTGTTTGAAGCGTTTTTCTTGTTATACCCGCGTCACTCGTGATTATAGTTGAGTTGGAGAGCAGTTTCCTCCTTTGTGTCAAATATCCATCACGATCGCTTATCCTTGTCATGGGGGGTGCGGGTGGGAAAGGTCTCCTCAAAGGAACGATCGGCAAAAGACTAAAATCTGTTTGATAAAATAGACGACGTACCGTTAGACTGTGTATCGCGGACTTGGTCAGACCAGAATCCACTTGGATTCTCAGTATCACCTCGGGTCGTTCCGTCTCTAAACCGGGCTACCACTTGCTACCATTGCGTTACTTGCAGATTGGACGAATCGGGTCACGTGATGCTGAATTCACTCCCACGATACGTCTGCAATGACACCCCGACGCAAGTGACGCGCAGTGAATTCGTTCAAGATTCTAAGTGATGGTAAAACCCCTCCGCAGCTTCCTGCATCTTTAGGGTATAGCATGAGTGGTACAAATCACAAGCCACAATTATCCGCCAATGAGCGTAACGGAAACGGAGGACGCGAATCGCGTCAACTAAGTCTGCACAAATTCCAATATAAGGGCACCTGAATTGCGGAGTACGGGATTGACGTCCGCATGGAGAGTGGTGATTGTAGGAAGTATAAGTAGGCGGGAGATGTAAAGGATCACTGCAATCAAGCATCGAGTTGCCTCCCGAGTCCACCATGCTTCTTTCACAGACCGTTCTAAGTTTTTTCGCTGCCACTTGTGGTTTGGTGAGTGCGGCTTCCATTACAGATGTCTGCACGGTGGGTTACTGTACACTCGGCTCTGGGTGAGTAGGTTCCGATTTCGAGCCTACTGAAATTGTGCTTGATCCTAGATTTTCTCACAACCACCCGTGCTAACACACATCAGCACATCAGGCGGCAAAGGTGGCGAAACGGTGACTGTGACTACGCTTGCCGCACTCACCAGCGCAGTCGCCGACAGCACGCCTCGCATCGTCGTAGTCTCCGGCACTATCAGCGGCGCCGCCAAAGTCCTCGTCGGCTCCAATAAATCCATCATCGGCCGCAACAGCGGCCATCTCGTTGGCATCGGGCTCTTCCTCAACCACTCCTCCAACGTGATCATCAGGAACACGATTCACTCCAAGGTACTATCGACGTACGAAGATGAGATTACGATCAAGTATTCGACGAATGTGTGGGTCGACCACGTGGATTTGAGCAATGATCGAGACCACGACAAGGATTATTACGACGGGTTGGTGGATGTTACGAGGGCTTCCGTGAGTTTTCCTAGCAGATGCAAACATCTATGGGACACACCTAATAGACCAATCCAGGACTACGTAACCATATCAAACTCCTACCTCCACGACCACTGGAAAGGTTCGCTCGTCGGCCACAGCGACAACAACCAGGCCGAAGACACTGGCCATCTGTACGTGTTCCCCCTCCATTATTGCGCCCTGCGCTACTGAGACGTCAACACAGCCGCGTGACCTACGCCAACAACCACTTCTACAACCTCTACAGCCGGGGCCCCATGTTCAGAATCGGAACAGGCCATCTGTTCAACAACTACTGGCAAGATCTGGATGACGGTGTCCGCACGCGCGCGGGTGCACAGCTCTTGATTGAGTCTTCGGTGAGTGCATCATTACCCTTCCCTTGATGCCATGGATACTGAGAAGGCGAAGGTATTCGAAGGCACCAATGACGCCATCATCGCAAAGGACGGCTATGCTGTCGTGCGGGACGTCGACCTCGGCCAGGGCACGAACGAGGCTCCGACAGGGACGCTGACGAGCGTGCCGTATGCGTATACTTTGCTGGGGAGCGCAAAGGTTAAGGCTGCTGTGGTTGGGGTGGCGGGGGCTACGCTGAGTTTGTAGATGAGGGGACATTTGTGGATGGAGTGTGTTTCATAGTTCGATCGTGTTGCGATTTGAACCTTATGATCAGTGACATTGATCTGGTATTATGGGGAGGGCGTGGGTGCCCATGGATTGTAGTGGCTAACAACTGAATTCCATACTCTTGATGCGCAAGAGTGTAGATATTACATCAACATTGGCAACTCGCTGTAGCGCGAGCCAATCATTAGGGAGTGCAAGTATCTAGTGCATGAGGTCAAAGTGCACTATTGGCCACTCTACGAAATAATGCAGTGAAAGATTCCCAAGTTAATCCTTTTATTTTTTACCTCGCTTGAGTCATACCCTCATGAATGAAATACAAACTTCCCCGCTAACCAAACCACTCACATCAACACCGCCATACCCTGTGCAGTGCTACTCGCAAGTCCAGCCAGGCTAAACCTTTGCGCCTGCTTCGCTCCTCCCTTGCCACCCGAAACATCTAACACCGTAATCGCCGCACCCGTGGTCCCGTTTCCAGGCGACAAAGCGTACACAAAGTTACCGCCGCTCGCCAGATCGATCAGCCCTGGGTCGCCATTCGCCGAGAGGTCGTATTGCTTGATGATGCTTGCATCGCTGAGGCTCATCTCGACGATCAGGTCGCGACCGACGTCAGTGACGAACGCGGAGCGCGAAGCGCTCGAGACGGTGGCCCAGCATGTCGCCTTCTGGCCGTCGAGTGCCTGGCTGTGTGCGGCGGTCGCGGTGCCGTTCTGGTCCAGGGATATGACGGCGGCGCCGAAGGAAGCGTCGGTTGCGAAGAATGAGTTGGGGCTCCCCGGGATGCGGGATGTGCCGAAGAGGACCGCGGTGCCGTTTGGTGAGCTGCGAACGCCTTGAGTGGCGAGCGTCGAGGGGCGGCGCCACTGGCGCTGGACGTCGAAGACGGAGATGAAGCCGGTTTTGTTGTTTGGGGGGTCGCCCTTCACCATTGTGAGGAGCTTCATTTCGTCGCCTGAGAAGAGAGTCTGCGAGACGGTGTTTAGAGGGCCTTTGGGTGGTGTAGATTGGCCAATGTCGAAGGGACGAAGCTTGTCCATGGGTCCGATTCCTTGGTCGGAGAAGGAGGCGCAGGACACTCCGGCTACGGCTCCCGTGGTCGCAACGCATACGAGGTTGTTCTTTGCTGAGGCGGCGACGGTGTTTGGGAACTCGCCTGGTACTGCGACGGGCTGGCCCACCATCGTCAAGCATGATGGGTCGTTGGGATTGATTGCTAGCATGGAAAGGGTGTTTGAGCCGGAGTTGACAGCGAAGATGTTCTGGGAAATATCAGCACAAGTTGCGTACCTGGAACATATTTTTGCGTACGTTTCCAAGAACAGACAGTGACGACTGGCTAGCCAGTCCATCAGGGAGCTGGGGATTTCCTGAAGCTGCTCCGACCATGACTGCTCCAGCACCACCGGTCTTGGTGGACCTGCCAGCTGCGAGAGTTCCATCTTTCCGGATTGGAAGTGCGACGACTGCATTCTCTGCTTCATTTGTGATGATATAGACGGCTTTCCCGGTGGTGCGTTGCTGACGCCAGAGCGTGTTCATTGGGGTTCGCGGAGCTGCGTCTCCGAGGGTCGCCAGCGCAGCAATAAGGAGGGCAAGTTTCTTCGGCAGAGCCATGACTTCGCGACGAGCCTTTGTATCGTGATATGGTCAAGACGGAAAGGAATGAATACGTAGTGCTAACAATAGAAAGTGTTGTGTACTGAGTTGAGCTCTTACGACCGCGCGCTCACTCTTTAATACTCACCTTTTCAACTCCAAGAGCCCCTTGATACTTGCCCACAGCCATGATTATTCGATCACAACTCCTAGAGGAGGCAGCGAGACACATTGTTGATTGCCTTCAATCAAATTCTCCTTCCGAGCCGCGAGACTAGACCCCATAGTCCATCCCGAAACAGAAAATCCGCGACCGACAATCCCAGACGCACGGACTGCAAGCGAGAACAGCAATTGATTCCAAAACTCTTTCCCCAAGCAGGCTCATGGACCGTGCCCTATCAGCCCTAACCGAGCGGCTGAGCCAGGGGTCCAATTCGCAGGGTCGCAGATCCCGCACTCCGCAGCCAATGAGACAACTTCATGCCTTGGGCCTGGCATTTGCAGTAATTTGCTCGCCGACGTCCGGTGGTTTTCTAGCCTGATACTTTGACGGTTCCAGCGTAACGGCCTGAAGCTGCGCATAGTGATTGTATCGAGTGTTCTTCCGCAGTTGAATAGCTTGATCACTCTATCATTGCATCGCATCGCGGTTCTGCTACCTGCGAAGTGTTGGAATCGCAGACATCGAGGGAGGCAACAAGCTCAGGTCACGTTTGGGGTTCGCAAGATGGTGAAATTCACCTTCAAGCCCTTTAAAAGCCAGAAGTCTCCTGCAGGTGCGTCAACTAACCGTTCCATTCTTTGTCATTCGTTGCAAAGCACACACGCACGCGAGTACGATGCCGAGCGCAACGGCCCGCCGAGGCACTGCTGCGGAAAGGAGGCCACGCAGACCCAAGACGGCCTCCGATCGTGGAGAGCTCTGTGGGGCGGGTCCCGTGCTGTATCGTCAGCACATGTACCGTATGCTAAGTGACGTTTGCATCCTAGATTCGGCGTCAGAGGAGCCGCAGAATGCCTATCAGAAACGCAGAGAGCAGGTGCGCAGGGCACAGAAGTAAGTGCCTAATCACGCCGAGTGTCTTCCACAGTTTCCCAGTGCGTGCGTGTGTGCTCTTGTGCTATAAGAGAGATGGTACGTCAAGCACCGCACAGTGCACTGGGCCGTCTTTCAGAATACATTTTTGGATCCCCATGCGCCGTCGCTGCTAACAAGTCACGCCAGAACCCACCGCGAACGCAAAGAAGCCTATGTAAAGTCGCTGGAGAGCGAAGTCATTCAGCTCCGCGCCAATGAAGCTCGACTCTTCCAAGAGACAAAGACGCTGTATGCCGAGATCAACGCGATGAAGACCCTTCTGGCGCGAAACGGCATCGCTATTCCATCTGGCGTCTCATCGCCACCCCGAGATCAAGATTCGGTGGTGGAAGAGCGATGGGGAGGGGATGCGAACACAGCAGAAAGAGAAGTGACAGGAGGAGGCATGTTCGAATTCAGCGTGACAGAAAAGACAACCAAGCAATCGCACGAGCGCATAGTCGTCCGGCGTCAACCGCGAAAGAGGAGTAACGAACGCAGCACGACCGCGCTCGCCTCCGACCATTCTTCCCGTACGCTCTCGACACCCCCCAACCCGGGTGGCCTGCTAATGTCGCCAGCTCCCTTCCCAGCAACCTTCAACACTCCACTGTCCAGCTCCAGCTCACCTTTTGCACTCGTCAGCTCGCAAGACCCCACAGCCATCGGCATGGACTTCATCCTAAGGTGCCCACGCTCCATCTGTCACTTGTTACCCTCTAATGCAGCAGCGCAGTCTCGAAGCCCCCTGTCTAGGCCACATACCGCACACAGACGCAAACGACAACGCCTCGCCCTCCGGCCACGCCCTCATGGCCAGTGCAACGCTCCTGCATTTCCACGACCCACACACACCGTCCTCGACTCATTCTCACAACCAAAGCCAAAGCCCAGCCTGGACGGTCCCCGAGTCCGGCGTCCAGCGCCTCCTCGAGCTGGCTCGCAGCATCCCGCTCGACGGCGAAGTGACGCCCGTGCAAGCCTGGGCCTGCATCCGCCAACATCCGCAGTACGAGAGGCTGCGGTTGGAGCGGCTGGAGGAAATGAAGTCGGCGCTGCTGGTGTGGGTCAAGTGCTACGGGTACGTCATCTACCCCTTGTTCTGTTTGTGGAGGGAGCGAAAGGGGTTCGTTAGGGAGGTACTGTGCTAACTGGGACAACAGGTTTGGTGGCGTGGTGCCGCTGGATGTATTTGAGGATATTATCAGAGGCGGTTTTGCCTAGAGGCGGAGTTGGGTGGTGGGATTTCTTGGGGACAAAACGGTAGGGGAGCTTGTTAGGATTGGACTGGCCTTCGAAGGCGCGTTTCCAAGTCTTGCAATAAGTCTATGGGAAAGTCTAGCGGGTGAGGAGAACATGGTAAGGTATACAGAGTTCACACATGCACATCTCACTCCCCTCTTCTCCCCCTGACAACCCGCCCATGGCCCCGCTCGCCAAACATCGGCTTCCTCAGTATCGGACCATGCGGACCCTGCCCAAAGTCCGACTGCCCCGGGGGCGGATTCCCAGTCACCTCATCTGACTTTCCCTGCGCCATGCCCTCGCTCCCACTCCTCACATCGCCGACGACCTTGTCCCCTTCTTTCGCACCGTCCACGGCTTTGGAACCGCCCTCCCACTTCTTCGCAAACGCCTGCGCTCCTCCCCCAACCGCGCGCATCTCCTCGCTATCCTTGCCGTCCTCACCCGCCACGTATCTCGCCGTCGTAGCCAGCAACTCCTCCTCCCCCTGCCCCCTTCTCTCCTCAGCCCAGCGCTCAAACATATCCCACCACCACCCATGCGTCTCCCCGTCGTCGCCCTTGTACCCCGCAACCTTCTTCCCCTCAGGAGAAGTCGTAACTCGGGCGGCCCACGGCTTGTCGACAATGTAGTGCAGCACCGCGACGGCATCGTCATCCCACATGGCAGGGTGCCAGTAGCGCCACGTCTTGAGCGCGTTGACGCGCCAGGAGACGCTCTTCCAGCGGCCGGCGAAGATCATGTTGAGGAAGTCCTGGTCGGGGAATTTCAGCTTGCGGAGCACAGCGGGAGGCGTGGCTTCGAAGGCGGAGAGAACGAAGGAGCGCAGCGTGGGGGAGGGCCGGAAGGCGAATGTGCCCGTGTTCATCTCGCCCATGGTGGGTGGGTCGGGCTTGACGGCCGGCACGCCCTCATTATCCCGGACGTGGGTGTGCGCGCAGTTCTCGTGCGTCCAGGACGCAGGGGCCCACGCGTCGCCGTCGAGGTTGCACACGCAGATGTGCGTCGCGACCATTCGGTTGGCATCCCCGCCCGCGAGGTAGGCATCGTTGTCCGCGTTGAAGATGAAGGGTGAGGGGTTGGAGAAGACCATCATGTCGGCATCTAAGAAACACAGGCGGTCGACTTTGCGCCCTTGCACCTCGAGCACTTCGAACACGCGGAGCTTCGTCCACGTGTCGATGAAGCGTTCAGCTACCATGCCCTCCTCATCTCCCTCACCTCCAGCAGGCAGACGCAAGTGCTCGACCGGATACAGCACCGCATTCGAGTACTTTGCCTCTGCGCGGAGAGCGGCCACGGCGGTGTCGGGCATGGTTTCAGGGGTGTACAAGATTACAAGGGGGGTGCTGGGTGAGTGGTGAGATAGGGTGTGGGCAAGTAGGAGGGCGCCGGCGAGGTAGGAGGGGCGGGTTAGGAGGGTGGCGTAGGCATTTATGCCCTTGGTGTTGCCATCTCTTTCTTGGGTGGCCATGGTTGCTGAGTGTGTGGGGTTGAGGAGATGTTGTGAGATGCGGTGGTGTGGTGTGGTGTGGTGTGGTGGGATGCAAAGCCAGAGTTCTTCCTTTTCCGGCGCAAGAAACGAGTGTTCTGTGTGTTTATCCCCAAGGTTCTCCGAATCTAGCCCTTGAAAGGAGTGATGCATGTTGTGCGCAAAGACTGCGCCATCCGCGTTGCACACCACGCGCTGACGTCATCGACTCGTCGCCTACTCACGTGTTAGTGCGTCGCTCCTAATGGAGCTCAACAACAGAGAGCAACACGGCGACGGGACTAAAGTGGGATGGATCCCTTTCCTTCATGGATGTATCTCATTATAGTAGATGTGTGCGGGTATCTTTCATCCCCACCGTTCCCTGCCGTAAAACCAGCCCAAGTTTAAAGGTACTATACAAGAAGTCCCATCAACACAACAGCTCAGTACGGCTTTCCATCCTCTTTCGCCAGCGCCTTTCCCCAGGCGCTTTCGAAGCTTGGATCGGCCACGCTCTCCCTCGCAGTCGCTGGTTGACTAAGACCCGGCGCGAGCGGGTCCACACCACTCGTTGCCATGCTCGTCCTGTTGCTCTCGTCGACCATAGTAGTCGGGCGGGTTGACGTAAAATCTGGTGATTCCACTTCGAAGTTGCTCGAGTACACGACGGCAGCAAAAGCCTCCAGGTCGCGCACCTGCTCGATTGCCGCCAGGTACTCGTTGTTGGCGCCGCTGCCGATGTTGTGTGCCTGTCTGCAGAACACGGCAAGCGAGCTGGCGACCTTGGCCTTCACGTCGCTGCCCACAATTTCCTGCACGCGTGCAGTGCTCTCTGAGATGGGCGGGATCTTGTATGAGAGCTGGGAGATCTTGACATCGATGAGATGGGAGAAAGCGGCGTCAAGGAGGCGGGTGAGAACGTGCGTGAAGGCGGGCGAGTCGATGAGATCAGATGTCTCGTCGATGAGACGGCGGAGCGATGTGGCTGTGGTGGGAGATGTGACGTCCTCGGACGTGGTCATCCCACTCTCGCGCAAAACATAGTCCTCCTGTTCATGGCTGGGGAGGAGGTACGGCAGCCACTTGCGGGTTCTACAACAGTTAGCAGCAAACATAAACGCGGAGCGCGAAGACAAACCTGCGTTCCTCCTCCGTCGCGCCCTCGACCCTCTTCCGCACTTCCAGGGTAAGCTCGGAAAGCCTCTCGATGGTGATTTCCTCTCTCGGGTTAAGGGTGCCGAAGACATCCTTCACAGCGACGCGCACCTTCTCCATCAAGTTCAGACATCCCTTGTGCAGCAGCCACCAGCTCAAACTTAGGTATCTCCGGTTTGTCTCAAAGTCGTTGCCGTATGCCTGCTCAAAGTTGTCGTCATCGTGGTTCTCCAGGCTTATTCGCGATTCCTGATTCGCTGGGGGTGGGGATGCGAGGGTCACGACGGAAGCGAGGTAGTTGCGGCGGCCGAGGAGGTTCAGCTGGATGCGAGTAAGGAGGGTGAGTAGCGACAGAGTGTACAGAAGCGTGAATGCGCGTGTGATGGCTGCCATGGTCAGCTGCTGTCAAGACAGTCCCGAGGATGTTGGTACGCACAGCTGATCTTCATCTCGCTCCACAACTGGGCCTTGCTTCTCTTGCTCGAGCGCTCACCAGACTCGGCGCTTCCTTCTGCACTGCCTGTAGTGACCACACTCTCGCCCTCGCCAGCAATCTGGCTGGCATGCACATAGCTCTCGCTCTGGAAGGTGGAGCTCTTGGCATCGTCCTCTGTGGTATCTGCGACACTCGGCGGCGCTGTGCTTGCAATCTCGCTGGGCCCTACGCTTCTCGCCAGTCTCTCAGCCTTCTGCTTCTGCAGCTCTTCCAGCACCTGCTCCACGGGAACGGCGTCCAGGAGGTTCTCGGTGGCGGTGGGCAGGATGGCGAGGACGGTGAAGGTGCAGTCCTCCTGGTTCTGTTCGAAGCGGCGTCTCAGGCTGTCCCTATTAGCAATGGGCGTACCGCCTGAGAAAAAGGACGTCTCACTTCTCCTTCGCGATGCGGTCATCGCTCATGCGCTGGCGCGCTTCCGACAGCTTGCCCAGCGCATACTGCCCCGCGAGATAGCCCGCACCCAGCACGCCCGCACCGATGGCGAAGTTGGTGCGGTTGCGGCGAAACCAGCGGCGCGTGGCACCTATCATCCTGGCGCAGGTTGTGGCTGCAGTGTAGCTGCACCCCGGTCTGCGATGCGGAACGCGGGGATGGGACTCGACGCGCCCGCTCCAGAGGGGACGCTGATGTCACCGTGTGGTTCCAGGGACGGTGGGAGTAAGGAGTCACCACGATTGAGCTGACTCGTGACGCGGATGCTGAAGGAACGGGCAATTACGACTGAGACGATGCTCTCAAAAGTGTCGCATGGCGAGGCTGGTGATGCGGCAACGCCAGCCGCGCACGGATCACATAATCCTGGGGAAGCCGAGGCAAAGACGCACCACAACGTCGTTCCTCCGCACCTCAAGTGGGAAAACTTACCGCACGTGCTTGGCCCCTAGCATCCGCGGCTCGTGATAAAGGTATCGTTTTGCTGCAACGAGGACGACCGCACGGGTTTATGCTGGTTTGTTTGCACCGCAGACAAACTTGCTCGCGCACGGCAGGTTGTGCCATCCGTACTATCCTGGAACGCAGTCTATCCTAGCTTCTGCTCTACTTCTAAACTCCCCCTTTGGCGGATTTTCTCTAGAGTGGACATTTGTGGCTATCCCTGGCTGGATAATATATCATTACTCGAGCACGAATGGTGCTTAAGAATTTTTTGATAGATACGGGTGTATATATGGAAAAAGGAAAATGTATCTAGATCTGAAATCGCAATCCCACGTTTCAACTAGCAAAAACGCTACCTCGGACGAATCTTCACTGGTCCGCAAGCTCCACCAGAAGACAGAGCCCGGCTGCGCCGAATTCCAGGAGAAAAGCAGCCACAGGCGCAAGCTCCACGCTAGATGTCGATATACCTTGCGGCATAAGTAGCAGTGCCACCTCCGAGACCAACGTCAAATGAGTATGCAAACCAAATGTCAAACTCGAGTTCATATCCACGCTTGCTTGCATCTTGAAAGACAAATAGCCTAATTGCAAGAAGGTCGTCTTTCACTCACCCATCTCCGGCCATGGAAAGCCCCGTGTTGAGTATGTTGGAGTGCCTGTGGAAAACTGGCCCCGCTCTTGCCTTCACGCGGGCAAAGGCGACAAAGGGATTAGAGCAAGCCATTGGTGTGCTCGATTTGACTACAACCGAAGCTGCTAGTTTCTGTAGCGACCATGGCTTGCCAGTCTCGCTTCTAGTACAGATCAATCAAATCGACCTGTGTATCAGCTTTGTGCACCCTCTCATCCTCGCCCTCCACCCGACCGTAGGTAAGCAGACGCTTGCCGGACAGAAAGGTGGGCACATTGACGTGCGGCCGGCCAGCGCTGCTGGTTCCGCAATCACCGGTCGGGGCGGTGACATTCGTGACGGCGCCGTTGGTCGTTGGAGTCTGCGGCGGCTGAGAATAGAGGGAGGGATAGAGAAGACGAGGCGCCCTCCTTGGGCCGTACATGGGGACGCCGAAAGAAGGGTCTGCTTGAGGGCTGAGGTCGGCGCGAGAAGCAGGCGTACTGTAAAGATCGACGCCGTTCTGAAGGGCATTAGGAGGTGGGCGACATCCGTTCGCTCCATTGGTATGGCCATTGGTGCCGATGTTATCATTGCCGTTAGTGTACGCAAAGGCATGTGGATCAGATTTTGAGGACATTCCGAAGACATTTGGCAGGCCGCGATCCGGGCCGCCATAGTGCTCAGGGGCAGACCGGGCGTCGCTGACTCCGTTCTCGAGTCCGATCTCCTGGCTGTTGGTTCGTCCGCTGAGGTGCGCATATGGATGAGATAGTTCAGGCATATCGTCTGCATTGCCGTTCGCGGTGGTATAATCGTGACGGGCAGCAAGGCCGGGGGGCTGCGAGTCGCGGGCTGATGCAGGAAAGCCAGCACCTGGTTGGACTCGCGTGGTCTGGTCTGCGGCACCATCCAGTGCAGAAGATGGCTTCAACGACGCTGCTACATCGCGGCGGCCAATCTGCAGGCCACGCAGGAACGGGTTGTCCGGATGACTCTGATCGAACAAAAAGGAAAGTTCAGGGCTATCGTGAGCCAACAAGCCGGCTTGGAACCGCTTCATGCGATCAATCATGTTGTGGCAAGCAGCGAAACCTTTGTCGTACCAAAGCTGCCGCAGTTCCTCGTTGCCTTCCGCGTGCCCCAAAGCCTTCCCCTTTGCGAGGCCACGCTCATACTCGGAGCTCTCCCGAGCAAGTATTGCTTGCTCTAGTTCGGCACGAATATCTAATTGAAGTTTATCGGCCACTTGTGTCTTGTACATGGTGGAGTATGCTTTCTCGCGCATGTCGATGGTGGCCTCGCGGTGGTTCAGCTTCTCCCTCTTGATAGCGAGTTGAGCATCGACTTGACGATCATGACGACGGATCTCATAGATAACTTTCTCACGGACAATTTCTTCGTTGACGTTGATGAACGTATCCAAGTCCTGCGCGTCTGCTTCTGCGCCGGCAGACTGCTTCTGACCAACGGCAAGAAGATGCTCAATCTTTCGATTCAGAGCTTCCCGAGTATTCAGACTCAGTTCGTACTCCTTTAGATGTACGGTCTGTTGAATCAGAGCCGCACGTTGACCTAGAATTTCGCTCGTAATCTGCTGAAGCGCTTTCTCATAACGGTCTCGCGCGCGGCCTTCAGTTCGATCAAGCTCAACCTTGTGGGCCTTTCGCTCGTCATCCAGGGTCTGTTCAACCTTCCGTAGTTGAGCCTGCACCATGCGAGGATCATCCCTAGGATCAGTCCGATCATGTTGCGGCTGGTTTCCAAATTGCATTCTACGCGGAGCGCGAGGTAAGTGCTCAAACTAACTTTGGTCAGTGAATGATGATGTACATTTTCGAGTACAAAGCGCTTTACCCTTTGCACAAAAGGGCCTGCGTGGGGCATTCGGTTATGCTGCGGTGCCGTCGGAGAGTACTTTGGAAGATTAGTCCCACAGGAAAAGTGAGGTTGGAGGGTATATGTACCTTTGATGCATGGATACCTTGACTCGGCGTCATGGTCTCTGCAGAAGGTTCAAGCGTGGTTCGGGACTCGTACGCGTGTCTTGCATTCTGGTGATGGCCGTCCATGTCACCGTAAAACTCCCCCGATCGAGGCGTCTTTCCAAGCAACGATGTAGTAGCTACATTGTCAGTTTATTATAACCATTTTATTGTCGGTTTCATCGGGCACTATGACGATAATCCGCAAATAAAAAGCACCACAAGGAGAGTGAAGTGAAAGGAGGGACATGTACAGCGGTAGACTAACTTTGAAGTGACGTGCGAACAACCGCATCCTCGCCAGCAGAGTCTTCTTCTACCATGGGATCCTGCTTCTTCGCAACGTCTTTAAACTCGACGCTCTCACCCGAAGCCAAGACTTCATTTTGATTATTGAACTGGCTGTCGATTCCCGGTACGCTGTCGTAGGAAGGCTCGGTCGGCTCACAGTCATCGAGCGATCGAGACTCGATCGAGCCATTTACTGGTTCCTTGACATAAGAACGACTACTGTCGAGAGTCTCCTCGGAGTTCAGCAGCAGGGTGGTGACGATCGCTCCCCCAATTGCACCCTTGTTCACATTGTGCTCAATAGTGTCAGTTGGACAAATCCACATGGAGAAGACCGTCGCTTACATTAGAAGTGACAGCATTTACGCCCAAAGATTTATCCTGTGCTCCAGTAACTTGAGAAGCGTCTGCTGAAGATCCGGTATCAACGTTATCAGATGTTGCAGAACGATGGAAAGAGCGGGAGGCTGTTGAATGGTTGCCAGATGTTTCCTCGACGACATTCTCGCGACCCTCGATCTTCATATTGCCGTATACCGAGCCCTCACTCCGTGTATCTACGTCTGTCATGTCTGATCCGTCTGGCGTCTCGAAAGGCGAAACAAGTGTGGGAGTCGGGCCGAGTCTGGGGCCTGTAAACCCAGAGAAGAGGTCTTGGTTATTTTCCAGAGATGGGTAGACGGGCGAGTCCGAATGCTGGTAGAAACATTCGAGGGCAGCGGCCATGGTCTTATAAGCCGAATCTGTGGGTTCCCTGTGGAAACGCTACGTTTGGTGAAGGCGGAGTATTCCCGCTGCGTGGGGTATGTGAGCAAGTTTTTGGCGTTTGTAGAAAAGGGTGGAAGGTCGACGACGCAAACGAATAGTAAAGCTCGGTTACGAGTGAGTTGTCAAAATGTACCGTAGGACGATACGCGTCGAGTAATGTAAAAGTGCTAGAACACGTGCTGTAAGCCGAGGAGAAGTAAAGTTAGGTCTGCTAAAGTGAAGCTAATAATCGGATGCAACTATTCCTGGAGTGTCGCCGTGAGAGACGCCCAGTGTCAACCGAGTCAGAGGGAACATGAAGTGAGAGACACTCATTACTTGAGAACTGATCCCAGATTGTCAGTCGTTAGTCTTGGTCGAGGGTAGCAAGTACATCAAGATCCTTAACGATATTGAGTTGAACCCCCTTCTCTCTAAAGCGTCGAACCAGATCCTCATCGTCTCCAGCCCGTAGTGAAATCACCCCTTCCTCGTACTGAATGGCCAAGGTCTGTAGTCGTGGAAGATATTGCGTGCAATCAGCTGCCAGTCGCTGCATTTTCTCTAAAACCGAATCCCTCCATACCTCTGCATTGATGTAAGGCATGTTGTAAGATATTGTCAGGTGTTCCAACGATGGGGTAAGCTCCGGCGCGATCGGAACAGTTGGATTGTCGAAAGGTGAGCGTTTCCTGCATTCCATGTCGGGTATAAAGAGGTTGCAAAGTTTCGCTTCTTTCAAAGTCGTCATTTGGCAGAGACTAGGGAAGGAGACCCAGGATCCGCTAGTAGATCGAAATATTCCCACGTTCGCCATAAGGCACAATGTTTCCATAGTCCTATTATGTCTCTGAAGATTCGGCAAAAGGATAACCGGTCCTTTTGACATTTCGCAATGCAAATGTGCCCAATGACAGAAGAAGTGATGAATATTGTTGCAAGCTGAGAGCAACTTATCAACGCTTTCCAGTGGCAGAGTACATTGAGTTATCTCGATTCGTTGCAAGCTCTCCATGGTCGTGCCTGAGGGTATGCTGGAGATGGGACGATATGGAACGCAAACGCCAGACGCACGTAGTTCTGTGAGGGGTGAAAACTTCAAAAGTTCGGAGTAAATGCGGTCAAAATCAATAGTATGATCGTTGAAATATCTTTCGGAGACGTTGGTCTGCAAGGTAAGCTTCTTGAGTTTACGCAAGATTTGCTTTGGGGCACCCAATAGGTTCCCTCCGTCTTGTTCCTCCTGGCCGTCATCTATGGGATCAAGTAGATGGCCCCAGAAAGTAAAGTTGTTGCTCTCGATCGAAATGACGGACATCTGGAGTATGTTTGGGCACATCCGGACGATCCAGGCAAGCTTTGCAAAGTACTCAGTCACTACTTGTGATTAGCGACAAGTTATGCTTGATGAAACATTTAGATGTGTAAATATGAATGCCCATATACAGAATCGAGTCACTGTACATGAAAGAAAGCTTACCCAATTCTGCGCCAACTGAATCTTCTAGATCGTCTAGATCATTAGAAAGCCTGTTACCAAGGCAGTCTTCTAGAAGATTCTCGACGTAGCGGACATGACATCTTAGTTCCTCTCTATCGGTAAAAGTCCTCAAAATTAGGCGCAGCGGGTTGATCCCATAATTTGTGGTGGATCCCACGACAGCATCATAAAGCGCAGGGACCGCGAGTCTGTTGAGTCGCTTTGAAGTTAGACAGAGCGCATACAGTGCAGATCTTCGATAGAAGTTTTCATATTGCCGATTCGTCTCTTTGTGCTTGTTCTTGAAAGCCAGCGACTGCGGTTGATCGAGCCGGATCGCGCGCAGCTCAGAAATGACCCAGAGAATGAGTTCGTCGGGAAGATCAAGGAGGCTGGGAGCCCCATTCTGATTTGCTGGTATGTTCGTTGCCGTCTTGAAGGGGTATTTGGTATCGAACTCCCAAGTTGTATCGTTTTGAAGCGGGGGTGAACGTGGGTGGTGCTCCCCGGTCCACTTCGTGAGAGCCATTTGCGCTTATCGCCTTGCTTGACGAAATCCGATTCAGAGACAGATGGAATGCCGCTGATAATAGATGCGCGGTGTACAAGATTCGAGATGATCAAAGGGTCGGTAACGTGAGGGTCATCAAGCTAGGACGGACCAGCTCAGGTAGAGTCAAGCGGGGCATTCAGCAACATCCCAATCAAGACTAGCCGTGTTACTGTCTGAGAAGTGTCATAAACCTAGACAAGCTCGTTGGATTCTGGAGGTGATATCCAGATGCCAATAGTGCATGTCGACGTTGAAATGAGCGCGGCGACCCGGCGCCAGGGCCAAGCCGGAGATAGTGCGGCCTCAAGGCCCAAGCCAACCAGACAGTACACAGATGACTCCATTGGCTGAAGCTGGCTTAGCGCATTTCGACGTATGATCATCGAGTGTGAGGAAAGTTGCAACTCCCTCGATGGCCGACAAATAATCTGTTGCAGCATGAGCACGTCTGGGTCAGCAAAGGGACTTGGTGGTAACGTGAGTCGCGCGGGACGATGATAATAGTAATCCTCATTCTTAAGCAAGCGTTACTAGTCCCGTTGCTCCCGCCTCCAACAGCCTTTCCAGCGGAAGCTTCCCCTCCCTTACCGAAGAGAACAATTACCCCTTCCGCCAGAGCGCCTCTACCTTCTCCAGCAACTTTCCCTCGTCACAGGCGTCCCTAAACAGCTCCTTCGTCTTCTCACGTCTCTCCTCTTCCCCGTCGGGCAGGCTAGTCATGATCTCCCCGAACCACTCCTTGATCCCGCGCTGCCAAAGCAGCACGTTCATCTGATCCCATGCCCTCGTGTGATCGGCGTGTTCGGCGGGCTCATAGACTTGCCATAAATCAGGGCGGTTGGCCAGTGGTCAAGTGGCGATCCGGTCGGCATTTGCCTCTTCGTTCCACGGGCACCTGTGGCGGTGGTTGGGGGCGAAAGGGTCGCGGGAGGAAGGCTGTCGCGACTTGGATTCTTCATGTGTGTTTGCCGATGTTGATAAAGGAGTTGCGGTGTAGTGGTTTAGAGGTCCGCCTAGTACCGAGGCATTTGGTTCATAGTAATGACTACCGGCATCCATAGTGTCCGATATCGCTATGATTGTAGCCCAATTATGAGAACTTTAAGAGAGCACGTCTGTCTACCGCCGTGGGTTAGCAGTTCCCATATTGGTCCGCAAATCAAAGAACCTAACCGCGGTTGGGTAACACTCTTGTCAGGCAGCCGCCCGCGTGACCTCCGCGCCTCGCGCTTTTGGAATGAACCCACACTCATGAATCTTGCCCATTGTAGTACATTGCTGATCCTTGTTCCATCATACATGTGCCCATCCAATCTTCCGCAAGACCTGCATCTCGTTGATCAAGCAGAAACTTCCAGGCTCCTCATTTTTCGGGTCACCTTCTTTCCATTTGCGCACCCTGGACGCAACAACACCAGACTTTAGCGCTGGTGTCACGGTGACCCAGCGTCGAACTCGATTCTCCCATAGCCTGTACAAGAGAGCTAAAGATGACAGACCGCGCTCGCCCGCTTTCATGGCTTCGTAAGCTTCTCTGGTGTATCCCACTCGCACTGCAGGATTCACGAACACGCCTTCTGTCAAGGAGAGAGGGTTGTCAGCATGGATGAGACAGCACTCGGAACCCTCGAGATGCGTAGCTGCCAATGAATCCGGGATTCCACGAAATCTTATCGGAGACGTTCCGGTAAAGATCTGTGCGGGCATTGCGACTATTTGGCTCAGTCACGAACAGAGAATGGGAGCGCTCGTACTTACCGATACCATTCCAGCAACTGGCTACTGGAACCGGGTCGTTGTTCATGATCGCTTCCCGTGACGTACGCGACCTAAAGTACGGCCAAGTGGGCATCAGATGCTCGTGGCCGCTCGAATCTCTTAGTGCAAAGGTGTCGTAGAAGTACGGAGGAATCTTGAAGTCCATTGAACACGCTGCGGCATATCTACCACCACGGGTATTCAGCAGCTGGAGCACATCTTCTGTCTTGACGATGTCAGTAGTCGAATGCGTAAGTCCATCTAACCACAATCACTTACAGAGAAGACAACATCGTTGACGAATAGGATCTTGTCGAAGTGGATACCTTTCTCTGCTAATTCAGCAAGAGGCTTCAATCCTGTATTCCTCTGCTTCGCTAGATACGGAATACGACGTAGCTCTTTATTCCCTTGCGGAGTCTCTACCCAGCCTTCGCCGGTTGGTTCCACGGAAATCTCGTCCTCATGCGTCACATTGGACGTGGTGATCCTCCTCTCGACACCGACCTTTTCCAAAGCTTCGTCAAGCTCCCTCAGCGCGTCTTTCGTGTCGTCCCAGCTTCCGCTTTCATGGATGCTGACGAAGACGTTCTTGGGTCCAAGGGTTTCGGCCAGGCCTACCAAGGCCGCGCTCAAGGAAGAGCGCAAGATGGCTTCGTTGTTCCAGAAAATGCCGGCAATGAACACGCGCTCGGATCCGGGTTCATAATCATTGGATGACGGGCTTCCGCGAGCGAGACGCTGTCGCACGTGCAGAATGTCCAGGGCATTGAACAAAACAAACAGGGCCAGTAGTATGCGCACAATGGCCTTTCTATGGCGACGGAAATACATGTGTGCGGGATGTCGACACCAGGAAAAGCGGGTGTCTGGCCGAACCGTCCATTTGCGATTTGCGATTGTTCACGTTGAGGTCAGGACAGCGTACATTGCAGGTGAAGGAGGTCAGACACAGCCACTGCTCGTGCCCCAGTCCGTGCGCGGCCCCTGTCACTTGGCTGCACGCCGTTGGACAACGGATTTTATGTCGCGGCACGGAGATCCGCTCAGCGGCCCCCACACAAATCGCGCAACATCTAATTCTAACCTGCCATCAAACGACCGCGTCCTAGGCCCATACTTGCTTGTAAACGATTCAACGGTTCACACTTGCTCAGCCCCGATGGATAATTTCCTTCGCGTATAACGAGCGCACTGCACTTCTTATCGCCAAAGCGGCGGAAAATTACTGTCATTTGAGGGGCCCCACGGTCTTATAGTCGCTTCCTCCGCTCGAAGTCTAACTTTGCAGCTATATCACTTTCCATCGGTTGGAGTTAGGCGCACGATATGGCAACGATGAAGCTGAAGTGCAATGCTGCAGGTACGGCCAGCCCTTGTCACCGCTCCGGAATGTTGCTGCGCGTTCTGCGCGGCCGATAGTTTCGTCAAGACTGCCAGGGCACTGTCACACACAGAGAACAGCAATTCGTTACTTAGAATTGCGAACCAGTACCGAAGAGACCGACTCTTTGTCTCGTCTTTCTTGAACCGCACGCCGATCTCAGGCCTTCTTTCCACGCGTAGAACAGCGACACTCGTTTTAAGTTTACCATTCCGCCAGGCCGAAACACTGCATTACTGCTCAAACATGCTGCCATGGATTGAAAAGTATCCATCATTAATAAGAATCTAGTCACCATCTCGCGTTTGTGTTCTTGGGTAATCTCAAGCACCAATGCCCGATTGTAATATATTCTTGCATGGGTAAGATTCTCAACTCCTTGCCCAGGGATATGAAAATTACTATCCGATGGAAAACTCGAACCACCTATGGCTGCAGAAGAGAAAGCGCTGGCCCATGAGCTGCAGCATCCCGTAGGTATCATCCTACACCATTCCGTTTTGTCCACCACCGTTCTTGCAAACAAACAGCTAATCCCTCTCCCACCAACGAACACCACACTCTAATTCAGCACCTCGTGTACCATACTGTCTGTCTTAATGCCCAGCAACACACAGGGCGTGTGGTTCAGCGGTACGACGCTCCACCCCGATTAAAACGGTACGAATGGGAAGTAATCTCTGCTCGACAGGTGGCGATGTTTGACTAGGGCCACGCGCAAGCGTGGTGGGCAAGAAATGGTATGGGGAGACTCGCGTTCGAACTGCGACATGTGCAGCATATCCTCGTTTTTGGCTGCTTGATGGAACGGAATCATGCAGCATTGTGCAACTACCGCGACTTAGATCTTAAGACAAGAAACGTAAGCTGTCTCTCCGCTGCATTAGATACCATAGAAATGTTCTTTGCGTGCTGCCATCATTTGTAACGTCTCCTAGCCCTCCCCACATCAAGCCGTCCAATATACCAACCGTCCCATCGATCCCGCGCACGTACCCTGCCCACAGCAACCCACAGCAAACCACTCCTGCAACAGCTACCCCCCACTCCACCATTTCCGTTGTACCAACGCACTCGCAGACGGCCCGCACCCAAGCATAGGCAGGACTCGAAAACGTATAGGGAAAATAGAACATTACAGACCAGCAAAAAGGGACGCGCCAGGAATCGAACCTAGGTCACTCACCACCGCCGCGAGAGCGAACCTCTCATGGCGGCTTCAGAGTGCCCTGCCGCTAGACCACACGCCCTCGTCGTGCTCGTGACTGTGCGCCGGAGCTTCGGCGGATATGCACCATTCACCGGAGGGATGACCCAGTATCCTAGACGCGCCCATGCGGCGATAGAACCATCTCTTTCCACCGCAGTCGTACACCTCCAGATAAGCCCTGTCACCTCCCCCTCTCGACCCCACGTCGCCTGGCCGACCATGGTACCATTCACCAGCACGGAAAAGAATACACGGCCGGGATGTCCGACTGGAGAAGGAATCGGGAGCGTGGTAGCTGCGTGTCTGGGCTGGGCCCTTTGCCTCCGTGCGGCGCTCCCTAACGCTGCAGTGCCTGTGACGCGGCGAGCTGGCAGCAAGCCGATGGGCAATCAGAATAAGGTGGGTGAGGAGAGCAAGGGAGAGCGAAACGACCGGATGGGACAGAGTACAAAGAAGAGTGGGACGTGCCAGGAATCAAAACAAGTCTCTTGCGTGGGAGCAGCTACGGCTGGTACACGAGTCTACGGAGTGCCCTGACATTAAATTCGCACCTTTTTTGTTGTTGACGGAGTTGGGACTGAGAAGTAGTAGGGCATGGAAGGTGACAGGGAGGACGGATGGCATACAGCCACGTCACACCCGCAAGAGACAGAACCTAGACACGATATGTGCAAGCAAAACCATGCATTTTGTAACCTTGGTATACACACGGGCTCTATCATGTCCTAACTACAGCTTGCTCTTCCCCTCGCCTGTACTCCTTCCCAAGTACAAAGGATCCTTGGGCTCAATCCCATACTTCTGGCACAGCTCATGTCCCTTCTTCCTCTGCGCCTCGATCCTGCTCTTGTGCGCCTTACCCCGCTTGTTCTCATTCTTGCCCAGTTGCAGCAGATGCACCTCATCCGGCCCGTCCACAATCCGCATCGTCCGCCCATTCGCATACATGGCCGCGAGCGGGGTGTCCTGCGACACGCCGGCGCCGCCGTAGGCTTGGATTGCGCGGTCGATGACGTCGAGGTTCATCTGCGGGACGAGGACTTTGACTTCGGCGATTTCCTTGAGGGCGCCCTTGGCGTCGGACGCGTCGATGGTGATGGCGGCGTTGAGCACGGCGAGTCTCGCAGCATCAATCTCGATGCGGCTGCGTGCGACGCGGTCCAGCATGATGCCGTGCTTGTGCAGCATCTCGCCAAAGGGCTTCTTGCGGGGGTCGTTGATCCGCGCGAGGAACCATTCGAGGGCCTTCTCCGCGGCGCCGATGGAGCGCATGGCGTGGTGGATGCGACCGGGGCCGAGACGCCCCTGGATGATCTTGAAGCCGTCGCCCTCGCCGAGGACGAGGTTGGAAGCCGGGACGCGCACGTTGGTGAAGGAGACGTGACCGTGGCCGTGGGGCGCGTCGTCGTAGCCGAAGACGCCCAGCATGCGGTGGATGGTGATGCCGGGAGTGTTGTGCGGGACGAGGACGACGGACTGTTGGGCGTACTTGTTGGCGTTGTTGGGGTCGGTTTTGCCCAAGACGATGAAGATTTCGCAGCGGGGGTCGCCGATGCCTGAGGACCACCATTTCTGGGGGTGTTAGTAGGTGGTAGGAGGGGGTGGGGAGATGTAATTACCGAGCCGTTGAGCACGTAGGAGTCGCCGTCGCGCGTAATCGTCATCTCGATGTTGGTGGCATCGCTCGAGGCGACTTGGGGCTCTGTCATGAGGAAGGCGGAGCGGATCTTGCCTTCTAGCAGAGGCTCAAGCCACCTCTTCTTCTGGGCGTCGGTGCCGTACTTGGCCAGCACCTCCATATTTCCGGTATCCGGGGCCGCGCAGTTGGTAGCCTGTGCCTCGTCAGTCTTGTTATTCTATTCCCCCCGAAGACGTACACACCTCGCTCGCCGTCCGACTCTTGCCCAGGTACTCCGCCATGAGCCCGTACTCCAAGTTGCTGAACCCCGCGCCCTCCTTGAAGTGGTTCTTGGGCAGGAACATGTTCCACAAGCCGAGGGCCTTTGCCTTCTTCTTCAGGTCTTCGATGACGGAAGGATGCGACGTGAAGCGCTGTTGAGTGGTCTCGCCAATCTGCCGGATGTACACCTCATCGTGGGGGATGCATTCTTCTTCGACGAACTTCTCGACCTGGGGAAGACATCAGCATTGGAAGGAAGGATGGGGAGAAGGCAATGTACCAGGTCGAGCGTTTTGGCCGCGCGCTCCGAGACAAAAGGCCGTGCGATTTGGGGAATGCGCTGGCTGGCGCTGAGATGGCCTTTCTCCGAGTTTACGAGGAGCTCCGACATGGTTGCGTTTTCGTCTTGCTGGGCTGGCGCAGCAGGAGGATATACAGAGAGGATGGCAGCAACCGAGGCGACTTTGTACGGGGACGTTGGTAAGGCGAGCTAAGTTCCGTTGCGGGGACAGCCGAGGTTCGCGGAGTTGGCCCGCCTCCACTGCGCCCCTGGTTGGCTGGGGGTGGAGGTCCTTGGCAACGTGGAGTGATTTCTGATTCTATCCGAGGATGCTCTTTCATTATTATCTGACGGTGACCTGAGACTCGGTTGAGCGTTTGAGGAGGAGGGGGAGGATGCATCTGCACACGCTTGTTCATGAAGCTTTGGCTATTTCTGGTCCCGAGCAGGACCGTCCGAGAGTTCTTGCAGTGACGATTGCATTCACGTATGCGAGTCATCAAGCATAAGTCTCCATGTAATGAATGTATTCGCCATAAAGGAGCACCCCTCCAAAGCCCAAACGCCATCCCCACTATGCATGCTCGCTCAATCGTGAAGGCCGTCCGTCCCAATGCAACGCCAAAGATGCAGCGCGAATAAATACAGAGGATCATTGCAGCAGTTAGTCAATCAAGCAATCAATCAATCAATCACTCCGCAAACACGCTGTCGTGTCCAACACCATCCTCATCCGGCGAATGGGTCCCGCTCCGCACTCCGTCGTAGCTGATTGCTCTCTGCAGCGGACTGCGCCTACGTTTCAGCTGCTCTCTAACCTTCCTCTTTAATTCCTCCTCCTCCTCCGTATCTTCAGCATTGAGTAGGTGAATGGCCCGGTCGACTTCCTCCCACGAGGGCCTGCTATCCCGGGACCCACGTGGCGTAGCGGGGCCAGATTGCGTTTCCAAGACTTCGAGACGTTTGGCCTGCTCTTCGAGTAAAAGTGGGTCCCCAGGTTCCTCGGTTGGCGTGGGTAGGCCATTGTCATGCTGATCGGTCCGGGCGGCGACGCCGTCAGACTGCTCAGGAGAAGCTGAGCCCGCTTTGCTTGCCATGGATGGTTCGCCGAGTGTGATTGGCGTGGGCGGACTGAAAGCGACTTGCACAGGGCTGCGGCGACCGTCCGTCTCTGCATCCGACACACCGTTGACCAGATCGCTAACGTGACCGCTGCGATCGCTCAGAGCCGCCGAAGCGTCGCTGCGCCAAATGTTTCCAAAGGTGCGCCTGCGTCGTACGCGCCTGCTGCCTTCTGGGCTGTGCGACGGTGAGTCGAAGAAGCTCGAGTACGTGTTGCCCAGCTGCTGCACAATGGGAATGTCCGACTGGGAGCCCAGCGTCCCTGATCGCACAAAGAGTACCAGGCCGAGACAAAGCAGCAGGAGAGTAGACTGCACAACTGCCATCCGCTTCTGCCACACGAGCTCGTCTGCCACCATGCTGAGTCGCGCCCCAATCTCCCCCATCTCAGCCTGCTGCCGTTCCTTCATACCCTCTAGCTCTAAAATAGTACTTTGCCACAGTTGATCGTACAGGTTCCGATAACTCTTGAGCTCGTGCATGACGGTGGTGTTGAGATGATCTAGAAACTTTTCGGTTTTCTGCAGTTGCCTCTTCTCGACCTTCATGAAAGCGTCTCGTAGAGTGCGAGACTGCTCTTCGATGTACTGCAGCGAAAGCGTGCTGTTCGCTTCCAGATACTGGAGGCGTTTCGAGATGGACTTGAAGAATGATTCCTGCGTCGGCGGGGTGTTTGGTTGTGATTGCACAGACGTGCGTGTTTGTGCTGGGGCCTGCGAGCCGCTGTTGGTATTATTTGATGGTCCCTTATTGGAGGGTACAGCGCCAGTATCTGTATTGGTGGCAACTTTTGTGTCGGTGGCCTGCAAAGATACAGGCTTCGAATCGCCGCTGTAGTGCTCTGCTGTCGAGGTAGGTGATTTGGGCATATGAGCCGGAGTGGAAGGCGAAGACAAGGCGTCCGGACCGGCATTGGGAGAGTCATTCGCAATGCTTCTCTTGCCGTTTTTGGCAGCATCCAAATGGGTGGATGGCCCTGGGCGTTGACCGTCCGAGGGAGCATCGTCGCCAGCGGAGTACGTTATAGTGCTGCCAGGTACCTCTGACGCACGACCTGATGGATGCGCTTCGCGATGTTGATGCGAAGCTTCTTCGTCGATGGCACCAGCGCGGCTTCCACTATCAGTCGAACTCTGGCTCTTGTCTCCTTGTGGCGAAACCTGCTGCTCAATTCCAGAATCCTTGTTTGGTTTGGTTTGAGTCTGCTGGCTAGGAAGGTTTTCATCAACAGGGACCACCGCGGTCTGGACTGGTTCCTCAGCCACCTCATCAATCGGCTCCGCAAAGTCATCGTCTCCTCTGGCCTCTTCTTCCTCCCTTCTATACTGCTCCATCATAGTCGTACCATGTACCCTCAGTAAACTCATGGGACAGTAAAACTCGTTACCATAATGCGTCAAAAGCTCAATGCGCAGATATCGGGCCCAAATTTGAGGCTCCGTAATGAGAAAGGGCTGGATCTCGCGGGAGTTGCGGGCTTCGAATGTGCCCAGTACCCGCCAACGGTCCAGCTTCACGGGGTATCGATCAGAAACGCTAATTCGAAAATGTCGGAACATGGAAGAAAAGAATTCGTAATTAGCAAGGACAATGGTGTCGACGAGGATGTCTTCGCACAGCTCGACGATGATGAATTTGTTCTCGGCGGAGCACTCGGTGAGCATGTAGCTGTCCTTGTTCTCGACCAAGATGGAGGAGGTGCTCTTAGCTTTGGGATTGACCTTGAGGACTGTAGCGGCGCAATCGAAGGAAGCGTAGTTGAAGCGCTCTTTGCATGTCTTGCCCGCATCTTTGCTGAGCGCCCATGAGCTGGGTGCAGCGGGGTCTTCGCCATCTGTAGTTGTGGCCGTGTCCTGCTGGGCAGCTGAGGGCGGTTTCGTGGGCACTGCCTGTCCCTCTGAAGGGTTTCCGAAGCCACTAAAGTCTATCTCGATCTCTCCTTCTTCGCCCAGCGAGTCGAGGGCGTTGACGTTGACCGGGCGCCGTCGATTGCGCTGGTCCAAGGTTGCAGCACGAGCCTGGCCCACGCTGTCGGGCGACTGACCGACACGCTCGAGGTTCTTCTTCTTCCACTCTTCGAACGAGAGAAAGTTGTCGCTGTCGAAGGGAGAGTCGGTCTCCAACTCCGCCTCTGCTTGTGTGCCCGAAGACGCATTCTCCGCGGCAGCGTCAACAGCGCCGGCCGCTGCTGGTCCTGTCGCTTCAACTTCAGCCCTGACTTTGCTCCCCGAGGCGTCCTGTCTAGCCCACGGCACCACCACCTCTGGTGTATTGAGTGCGCCTTCCCCGCTCGGCTCGTCTACCGCGGCGCTCGGCGTAGGGGCTGACCAGCTGGTCCGGAGGCATTGCTGGGGCAGCCAGTGGGTGATGTAGTTGATGGTGCGGTACGGGCATGTGGCAACGGGGGCGGAGGGAGGTTTCGACGCCGCTGCGGTCGCAGGCGGGGCCCTGGCAGATCCAGTGGCCGTCGAGCTGCTGTCGGGGGCGGGCGTCTCATTCGTCGCTTGCGCGAGGGCGCATGTCGGGATGCTGCAGAGCAGCAGGTAAACTGTCCACTTGCGGAGCGGTGCGCCAACTATCGTCATTGCTGGGGCGCATAGCTCGACTCAATGTCCAGTGTCGAGAGCCGGCAACATGGACAGCGGCAGGGTAAATGGCGGCTGCAGGGAGCGGTGTATACGTTTCCCTTCACAGCGACACGTCGTGGTCAAAGCGGTAATCTCACCGCCCCCGCGCAGTCTTGATCGTGTTGGTTCTTCGCTTGCGCCAAGCCGGGGTCCAGGGTACAGCCAGCCGCTATTCACTTTCTCATTCATGATAACTGTACAAACGATGGCCTCTCGTCACGTCGTATCCTACGTATCGTACAACATCCGTCAGCGTGCACTGCAAAACATCACAATGCCATGTGTTGCATTCGGAAATCTGAAATGTCATCGTGTGCCTGGGATGGCGCAGGCACGCTCAAGTGCATCGAATGCGTGCTAATCAATCGCCACCAAAGAGATGGCGCATCCAGTCATGTCCAGCCCGTCAGATACAACAGATGTCCATGTTACACAGCGAGCGAAAGCTTCCAATACCACGCCACCGCCCAAGCCGCTGCAAACCGCCCGCCCATCCATCCTGCCGCGCAGTCCCTGGGAAACTTGCCGGCAGAGGTCTAATAATGTCGTGTCGTAAAGTGTCTTGTGCCTCGTCCAGGAAACGCCGTGCTGGTCAGTCATGATCGTTGGTCCCATGAAACGCCAAAGTGAAAGCGTCCACATCCAAAATCCTGCTATGCTGTTGCATCATGCTGAAGGGTATGCAAAAGGTGACGCTTAGGTGCAAACAAAAGGAAAATGTAACAAGTAAAACCGTGGTCAACGTTTGCGGCATCAGAAGCCTTCGTCGCCAGCGCGGCACACCTTGATCTCCTTGACCCACTCGGAGAAGAGGACCTGGTGGGCAGTGAGTCGGCGCGTGGGGTTGGGGTCTAGAATCGAGTAGATGACATTGCGACATTGGCGCTAGATGTACGTTAGCAGGTGCAGTATACAATCACGGGGATATGCGTACCCGACGAAGCACTTCTATAGGCCTATAACCGGCCTCCTCTTTCCGGTCTTCGAGATAGCGGTCGAAGAACTCGTCCTCACCCTTTTGGGCCTGGCGCCAGAGATGCCGTCCAGTCCTCATAGCCATGTAGATGATACCACAGGCCCAGACATCGACAGCACGAGGATCAAATTCGCGGTCAACATACTCTTCTGGGGCAATGTAGGGAGCAGAGCCACACAGGCCAGCCGTCATGTGAGCTTCCTTTTCCCAAGCCATGCGGAAGCATTCGCCATTGCCAAAGTCGGTGATCTTGATGGAGCCATGCTGGGTCAGAAGCAGGTTCTCAGGCTTCAGGTCACGATGCGCGACACCCATCTCGTGCATGTACTCGACACCACGCATGAGCTGCTTGAAGAAGCAGTCGGCTTCGACGACTTCAAGCTGGCCAGCAGCCAGGACCAGCGTGTACAGGTCACCGCCGGAGCAGTACTCCATGACTTCGCAGTAGGTGCCCTTGTCGTCCTGGAGAAGGTCGAGCGTGTTGATGACGTTGGGATGCTGCATGGATGAGGAGATGCAGAACTCGGCGGTCAGGCGCTTCTGGTACTTCTTGGCGGATTCGCCAGGGCGTTGCTTGAACTCCTTGACAGCGTACAGCTGCTCGCGCTTGGGGTCCTTGGCGTCGGTCTTGTGTGCGACACGCACGATTCCGAAGGCACCGCGGCCGACGACCTCCTGGCACTTTCCGTACTTTTGTACGAGGGTCTGCGACGTGGTGCTGGTAGCCGAATTCTTCTGCTCGGCCAGCTTCTCCTTCTCGTTGCGCATGACGTCGACCCAGTTGGCCATCAGACTCAGAGGCTGCTCGTCGCTGTGGCTGCCCTCCTTCCTCTTGCCCAGCATGAGATTCTGGAACATGTCCGACAGCTTCTCCTGGCGCTTGGCAACCTTGAGGTGGTGCTCGTGGGTGCCGTCGTCGTTGACCCAGAAGCGGCGGTAGGGGGGCGTGGTACCGCCCGTCCTGCCAGTGACCGACGCCTGGCGCGACGGCTGGGGTCGCGTAGCAGCGCCGTTGCTTGCTTTGACCTCGGCGTTCTTCTCGGCCACCAGGGCAGCCTTTTGGGCCTCCTTGCTCTCGTCGCGCTTAGTGAACATGCTGCTGAGACGCGACGTCATGGTGGGCTTTTTGGCCTTTTGCGCGTCGGCATGGGCGGGGGCAGGCGCTGCGATGCCATTCTGGGGTGGCGCGAGCGTGGCGGTCGCGTCTGGTCTTGAGTCGACCGACGAGAGGGTGTTTGTGGAGGCGACGGGCGAAGGCTGCGCTTTGGCGGGCTGGCTGGCGGGGTTGCTGGTGGGGGCGGCCATGGTGGGGAGCAGGTCGGTCGAGGCCGGCAGCGCGGGAAAGAGGCTTTCGCTCGAGGATGCAGAAAGTGAGACGCAGGTGTCTCGCGGGCTAGAAGCCCTGGGTGTGTTATTGAAGGACGCGCAAAACAGCGAACAGGCGGCGGCGGCTCGCGAGAGCTATCAGGTTCGGCAGCGTGTGTTGGGTGTGGGTCGACTGGTACTGGGAAAACACGGTTGCGGTCACGGTGGACGCCGCCAGCAAGGGCGATGTGCACTTGTTTCTACGGCGTGGAAGGTGGCAGCAGTGTCGGCGGCGATGACAAACGCCTGGCAACGCGCTCGGGAGGGCGTCGTGGCTGTGCCGGGCACCGGGGCGATCGGCGCGCGATGATGTCGGAAGCGGGCTCTTGGACAGCGGTCCGGGCAGCAGGCAGGCGATGTTTGCTGGGCGGCGTGGGCGTGGGGCGTTGACGAGAGTGCGTGAGTGCGTGAGTGCGTGAGTGCGTGAGTGCGTGAGTGCGAGCAGCACAGAGGGCGGCGGCAGCCAGGCAGTCAGGCAGTCAGCGTGCGAGACACAGACAGCACGCGGCCTCCGCCTTGGGGGCTGCTGCAGAAGAAATATTGGCAGACGGGCTGCGGGGAGCGACTTGCGTGCGGTATTTTCTTCTCGCTCCCGCCGCCAGCAGCGCTAGACGGCCTGCTGGGTCCCCATCTTTCATTACTGCTGGATGAAAGCGCGGCGCCCGTGGGCCAGCGGCGCGCCTCAGTGCTCCCTTGTGCTGTCACCGTCTGTCCGCTGTACGCGGGCGCCTGTCGCTGTCGCCCGCCGTGGCCAGGTGGGCCTTGGTCAGTGAAGACCACCGGTGATGTCAGCCGTCGCGGGACCGGCAGCAGGACAGGACGTGATGCCAGCGACTCGAGCCAGCCTCCAAACAAGCATCACGGCAGCGGAAGCTTGTCGTCACCAGGCGCCCACGTCGCCGTCTTCGCCCGCCTGTTCGCTGTGGCCGCGACGGCTCCCTGCCGTCCCATCGTCTCTGCAAGACGCCGGCCAGCAGCGAACGGCCATCCTCTGTACAACACCATGCGACGCCCCTGCTTCCACAGCAAAGGTACACGCTGAGCCGCCCGCATACTCGTGCGTCCATCTCGGGCATGCACGGCCCAGCTGCTGCTGCAGCGCAACTCGCCAAAGTGCTCGGCTGTCGAATTGTCACGCCGCAGACCGCACCTCTCGTCCGGGGCCCAGCAGCCATCCACTCACAATTCCCTCGGCACACGCCCCAGCCAGGCTTCTGCACGCCAGCCGTCGTTTTTGCTGCAAGTCGCTGCCCGCACAGACCCATCCGAAGATCTGGCGACATCCGCGCCGTCGGGTTTGCGCCCTGAGCTCATCCGCCACGAACAGCGGCCTGGTAATTAGTTGCACTTGAACATTAGTCAGCCGTCGGCTTTCGTCGTTTTGCATGTGTTGCGCTCTCGTTGGGGACTGCTGCCGCGACGCTCGCTGTGTTTCCAAGGCTGCTGTTTGAATTCACTCAGCCTGCGGCTGTTGCTGAGTCGAGAGCTGGGCTCCTTCGTCCTCTGTACCTTCATTGTCCCCTTCCGGCTAGCGCTTAGCATGCTCACGCTTGATGTGCGGATGGCGGAACGGCGCGAGCATTTCGCTGCTCGCCGCTCTCGCCATGCGACATGAAAAGCAACCCTGGAGCCAAGACGTACCGCCTGCCGTACCACCGTGCCTCGCAAGAGGATCACGGCGGCGCCTTGCGTGTCGCAAGATAAGCACTCGCCTTGCAAATCGGTTCTTGTTCTTCATCCGCATGTGCAACCTCAGTGCTGATGCGCCGCACCCGTGGTTGCAACTTTCCACTCCATTGGACGCTCACTCAGAAATGACGAGAGCACCGCATATCTGTCCTTCATGTGCGTGTGCATATGCAGAGGCGGGGAAAACCGCTCAGACACAAGACCTCGTTCCTGGAGGAGCACGTCCCCTAGAGATACAGTACCTCCAACATGCTGCAAATCTCTGCCGTTTTATTTTCGTTGCCTGCGGCCCGTGGTCCCTTCGGCACTGCTGCTGCATACTGAGCTCATCTCTTTCGTTCTTCAAACGGTAAACCACCATTTTGTGGCTTTGGGCACCTGCAGTCGCTTCCTGGCAGGGCCCAGAACGATCGCCAGATATCCTACGGATCACTGAAACCACTCATAGCCACGGCTGCAGCTAGCACTGTAGCCTGCCGGGTAATAACTAACCACGAGCATCGACTCCGGCTAGCCCACACAGCATGTCGCGGTTACGTTTAGAATCACTTCCTACTAGCCGAGCTACGGTAACGACTTTTCGTAATATCAAATTCAAAGTTCCAGAACGGGACTAGATTCAGCTTCCAGCATTGCTCGGAGCTGAAGTTACGTGGAGAGATCTACGACGATAGACAAATCTTGTGCGAGCTAACTCTGTATGTTTTCCACGGCGCGAAGAACGCTCCGTACGTCACAATCCCAAAGGCCGTACCACCGCCTTCAGTAGTCCAAAGATTACTCTTACTGCCTACTACCCCGCAAAGCACCCAAGGCAATCGACATACCACAGCAACTGCAAGGTGTCCATCACTACGCACACGTGGTAGCCCAGGACATCTTGTCGACACTTGACGCTCTTCTGCCGCTCTTCACGTCTCTGCACCGTACACGCAACCTCCTTGACCATCTGCCCTTGCCTCTCCCCACACTACACATAGACCCCGCCACGCAAATACGAACCTCCACGTGCCTCATATATCCCTCGCGCTAAGCCTAACCCTCAAAATACTAGCTACTTTGCTCCGCCACAACACTAAGGCCTTACACACGCTGGGGGAATCTGGGCGAGGCAGGCTACACCACGCTAGGCTCACACGTATTTGAACATCGCAGAGCGCGTAGCGAGACTACCGCGGCACTTCGAAGGTACCTATAGTACTTTTACCTGGTGCCTGGGTTAGGTGTAGTGCACAACGGTATGGCCACTTCAAGAAATATCCACACTCTCTCTTTCTCGCTGCGAAGTGTAGTGCGTATCAAGATCCTAAGATACTCTGCTTTTGGGCAGTTCGTGCAGCCTAGCATCACCATACCATCCACTCGAGTCCTGTCTGCTATACCTCTTTCTCGTCTTGGCATGCCCTACGCGTCCATCGACGGGGAGATTGCTGGGCACTTTGCCTACTCTGGAAGATACCGTTGGGGCTGTGCACACCAGCATACCGTCACATCTCAACCCCCTCGCCTTCACCTCACCGTGATGTCTCCCTTCTTCCTCAAGCCGTAAACCGTAGACCACAGAACCATGTCTGTGATGCACCTTGCGCCCACGGTCTCAAGCACGTCGCCTCTCCGCCCTGCACTCCTCATGGTCCACGCCCGCCTCGTCCCCGCTGGATCCAGGACCACTTGGGTCTCTGTCTCGCTCCGCTACCCGCCACCCACAGAACGGACGCAGACAGGACCCTGACTGCCTACATCCCACCACCTTCACTTCAACTTTGACTTTGACTTTGACCTCGACATCCACTTCCACGCGCCGTATCGTATCACATCGTCTCCCATCGATACCGCAGTGTGCACGCTCCACGTCCCAGGCCAGGCATCCCTTCTCCATGTTCATCTTCATCTCCATCTCCACCTCCACCTCCATCTCCACCGTCGCATGGCCTAGACATCCGGCCTCGACACATGCAATCCCCTTCGCTGCCTCGACCGGCTGACTGGGAAGGAACATCACGGCAAGACGCTGAGACGCAGGACCAGGCCGCGATGCAAGACAGCACGGCGCAGCACAGCACCGTGTCTAGCCTCTGCCGGTGAACTTGTTCCAGAGTACGGCAGTGCTTACTTTGGCGTACTCATGTGCGGCGTGGAGACTCGGCTCGAGGACACTGGGCCCCCTTCCTAGCCATGGGATGATGCTCGTCGCACTGGCACGATACAGCACTGCAGTATGATCCAAGGTATGGTATGTACGTCAAGGTGTGTAGGCACCGTCATCCTCGCTAATGATACGCTTTCCTTCCCCCGCTTCGCCCTCCCCTCCAATTCCCCAAGGTCTTCACCTCCCCGCCGCACACCTACTGCACCGGCGTCCCGCTCCGACTCGCACCCTTCAACCCCGGCACCGGCGTACTACTCCTCGAGCTCGCACTACCTCTCCGGCCCTCCTTCTCCCCATCCTTCTCACCCTTGAAACTCTCCTTCCTCTCCGCCAGCCCCAACGCCTTCTCCCTCTCCCTCTCGCGATCCTCTCTCCGGATAATCTCCCGCTCCTCCTCAACCGCCCTCTTCTTCTCGCGCACATTCCGCGTGATCCGGGATAACTTGCCCTCCTTTCCCTCGTTCAGCTTCTGCCACTCGCCGCGGTACTCGATGTTGAGCTTCGCCTTCTCCACGAGCCCCTTGAAGCCCGTCTTGAGGTCCGAGGGGGTGGGCGGCTGCTTCCCGTGGTCGAAGACGGCCTCCGGCGCGTCGCGGATGATGGACTTGACGTTCTCGATGCGCCGCGTGAGGTACAGCGTCGGGCGGCGGGCCGTGGTTGCGCCGGGCGTGGCCGCCGAGTCTTGCTGCCGGGAGAGGATGCGGTCGACTTCTTCGCGGTAGGCGGTTTCGTAGACGTTGATGTCGACGGCGCCGGGGGACTCGCTGACAATGTGCGTGTCGTCGCCGGGCGCGACGCTGTCTTCGCCGGTGCCAATGTCGAGGAAGAGCGTGTCTTGGAGGGGGTCGTGGGCGTGGCCTTTGCCGACGGGGGTGCCTGGGGCAGAAGGTACGGGGCCGGCGGGGATGGTGATGGGTCTGCTGGGAGCGGGGCGGTAGGACATGTTTTCGTGGATGACCTTGGCGTCGGTGATTCCAACGGGCTGTGGAGGTGTGGGCGTGCTTGCCAGGCCGGCTTTGGTAGGGTGGCTTCTGGAGCTGGAGATGGCAGGGCGGAAGCCGGGCTTCTCGTAGGCGACTCTATCTATGCCCTGAGGTAAGCGCCGGACGTCGTTGTCGATCTCGATGTCGTGGTGCACGCCTTCGGTTGCGAGCGCGCCCTCGATGGGCCGGCGGTCGTCAGCGTCCTGCGATTTTGACTTGCGCAGCCCGGACGGTCGCATCGAAAGTGGCGGCTGTACGATGCGGGAAGCACTGCCCAGTATACCTTCTAGACGTTCTGGTCTTCGCCGGAAGAGGAGCTGCTTGAATCGTTTTACTGCTCGCACCTGACCGGGGTCAGCACTGACGGCTACTGAACGTTGGGACAAGGCAGGCCGGTGGCGGTGGGCGCGGGACCGGAAAGATGGTTCACTTGCAGCGGCATGGCCCTTCCTTTTGCTTGCGACGCCCGTCCGAGGCACACATAAAAACGCACTTACCACTGTGACCAAATGCCCCATGTTCCCAGTGATGGCGGCATCGACTTCCTCGTCCGTAGGCTCGACTATAGCGGCTACGTTCTCGCCCCGGGCTAGTAAAGGATCGGTGCCGTTCATGGTCACCCACGGGTGTTCCTGGATGCGTTAGCACTGGTCCGGGATACTCGTCACGTTTTCACGTACTCGTATCTGCTCCATGGTGATTCTCTTTTGCGGATCCTTCTCCAGAAGCTTCTGCAGCAGATCCTTGAGATTGTCGTCGCATTCGTCGTACTCGGGTTGCTCCATGCGTATCGCCTGGTAGAGCTCGATCATGCCGTGTCGCTCAAAGGGTATCCGTCCGAACAGCAAGCAGAACAAGGTGACGCCCATGGACCAGATGTCGACAGCTTTGCCATCGACCTCTCCATGCCTGGCCACGCACAGCTCTGGGGGCATGAATGCGGGGGACCCAGCGGATTTGGCCGTCTTCATCTGGTCCTGCTTGTCGAACATTTCGGAAACGCCAAAGTCGACAATCTTGAGGACGTCGTCGCCGGTAATCAGACAGTTGTCGGGCTTGATGTCACGGTGGATGATGCCTTGGGCGTGCACTGCGCAGTCGTTAGCGCTGCGGTCCCACGGCGTTGGCGAATCTACATACGATATTCCAGGCCCAAAATCATGTCGCGGAACCAGCACCGGCACTGCTCCTCCGGGTACGGATCTGCGCGCTCCTCGAGACCTACCTGCATGACGACGCCCTTTTTGCACATCTCCATGACCATGTACAGCGAGTCCTCGTCCGGGTCGTCGAGCACTTCGATCAACGAGACGAGGTTCGGGTGGTTCAGCTTCTTCATGATGGCAATCTCCTCTTTTATCAGGTCCAGCGAGCTCTGGTCCTCTTCGCGGCCGGCGGAGTGTCTGTGCAGCGGAGAGTTGAAGCCCAGGCCGGCGGCGAGGGCGCCCTGCCGTCGTCGGCGGGCCGAGGGGCGGCGCAGCAGGTTGGACTGGGCACGCTTGCGCAGGCGCGACTTGGAGAACTCCTTGACAGCCTGTGTGCAAGCTGTTAGCCGTGCGTTCAGGGGGCGTGTCCGTAGGTAACCCGCATCAGTGCCAGACGTTGTTCCCGCTGGTCGGCGTGGGATGGATCCTCACATATTCTTGGCCGTACTGGTCCACGGCGAGGTGGACGGCGCCGAACGAGCCGCGGCCAATCTCCTGCTTGATGAGGTACTGGTTGATGCGGTGCTGGGCGGTGCCGTCGTCTTCAGAGTTGCTGTACTCGGAGCGCGCGTTGAGGGTTTCCTTTGCAGCGTTAACGGGGAAGCGGCGCGCCAGGGGCACTGGGACGCGGGCGCACCTTGACCCTGCGCGTCGACGAGGCCGCGCGCTTGTGGTGCCGCAGCGGCGAGTGGTAGGCGGGCAGCGACCTGCGGCGGGCATCAGCGCGGGAGCAGCACGGCGGGGCACGGCCAGCAGAGGGAGGCCAGCGCGCAGCCCCCGGGGCGGGCGGGCACGTACGTGTACTTGACGGCGGGCGGGCGGCCGTCGCTGCCTACGTTGGGCACGTCGAGCTCGACATGCTCGCTGGTGAAGATTCCTGGGATGTCCGTCTCTTCTGGCTGCGCCGTCGCGGGCGGCTGGAGCATCGTCTGGACACGGCGACAGCAGGGCGAGGGGCAGGGCGCGGTGGAGTCGGGCCAGCAGCGGAGGGCAGAGGCGCCAATTCAGAGGCAGGCGGCAGGGCGCGGGGGGAGGACGGTGGCAGCAGTCCCAGATTCTGCGGGCTCAGAGCTTCAGGCTGGCCGCGCAGCGCTGGCCAAGCACGGGCGGCGTCTGCCCCGCTGCCGGACGCCGCACAGTGCACGCGGCCTTGGCGAGCGCCTGCATTCGCGGGGCCCTATCCGCCCGCCGCGCCCCCAGCACCTCGTCCAGGCCAAGTGCATCCCGGCCCACCAGCGCGTCTGCGAGCCTCTGGCCAGGAAAGCCTCACGTCGCCGCCGCCATGGTGCTCTACTCCTTCTACATCTTCGACCGTCACAGTACGTCCATGTGCCCGTGCATTGCTCTCTCGTCGCCGGCCCGCCGCTGACCCCCCCAGCCGAATGCATCTACTCGCGCCGCTGGACGCCCACGCGCCCGGCCTCGTCCTCCTCCAAGACGCCCCGCCCGGCCTCGACCTCGTCCACCCTCTCGTCGTCCCCCGCCGCCCGCGCCCATGCCTCCGACGCCGAGAAGCTCATCTTCGGCCTCGTCTTCAGCCTGCGCAACATGGTCCACAAGCTCGGCGGCACCGACGACACCTTCCTCTCCTACCGCACCGGCGAGTACAAGCTGCACTACTACGAGACGCCCACCCGCATGAAGTTCGTCATGCTCACCGACACCAAGCTGAACAATCTGCGCCCGTACCTGCACCAGATCTGGGCCAATCTCTATGTCGAGTACGTGGTCAAGAACCCGCTCGCGCCCGTCGAGCATCCCGGGGGCATCGGCGTCGCGAACGAGCTGTTTGAGAGGGCGCTGGAGTTGTTTGTCACTACGGCGTTGCCGGCGTGAGCTGGCGAGATGAGGCAGACGGACACTCAGGGAACGCCAGGGGTGACGGTGAGGGTCCGGTCAAGATTAGATCAGGTTGCCAAAGTGCTTGCTGGCCAAAGGGCCGACGAACGCGGGCGAGAGGCGTGTCGAATACGCGACAAAGATACCCATTCCGTTCAGGAGGCATCGTAGGAGCCAACAGCAGGCCGTGTCGAAAAGCGACAGCCTTGCACAAACTACGCTCGTCGGAGTTGATACAAGACGAAGGCTGTCCAGCAGTCCATGTACATCAAATGTTCGTAATTCGTGCCAAAGTCTACCGGGTATAGCATGCTTTTCGTGTCCCAGAACGCCCCCCATGCATCTCCCTATCCTCTCCCCATCTACGCCGTCACGTTGGACGGTCTCGGGCGCCCGTTGATCCTCGCCGGCCCCAGTCCCTTGCGCACCTCGTCCAATTGTTCCAACCCACTCATGACCTTGCCCTTCCGGATTCTGTTGTTCCTCTTACCGACCGTCGTGTGCGTCCCCAAGAAATCGTCCATGATGCTGTCAAAGTCCGACCTCAGCTGCGGCGCCTCGCTCATGTTTGACAGCCCGGACATGCCCGACATGGCGCTGAAGCCAGACATTTTGCTCATGCCCGACACCATCGACGCGTCGTCGGGGAACTCGTCGTCGGCGTACTCCTCCTCGATCCTGTCGAAGCGCTGGTCGAGCAGCGTAAGGCCCTCGGTGCGGTGCAGCGCCGACGACGACATGCTGTAGTTGGACGGATTCGTGAGGGCTCCCTTGCGCTTCTTCTTTCGGCCGCCGGCCGTGAGCGCCGAGGCGCCCGTCATGATCGAGGATTGCATGTCGGAGGGCGCAGCGGCTTTGGGTGCTTTGCCGGACTTGGCGTCGCTCTTGAACTTTTTGAACGCCTCCATGTAGTCCATGCTGCCCTCCTCGGCGGGAGCTGGCGCCTCGTCTGGCGCTGGCAGTGTTGCAGGGTCGGTGGGTTCCACAGCCTCCTTCTCCGTCTTTGGCTTCGGTGAAGACGCCTTGATGGTGTCGTCAGTCTCCCAGCCTGGGTCCTCTTCGTCGAGGAAGCGGTCCATGGTGTCGCCGCCATCGTCAAAGTCTTGCTCTTCCCACTCGTACTGCCCAACCTCGGCGGGGTCCTGCGTCAGCTCGGAGAAGAAGTCTTCCTCATCCTCGACATAAGCTTCATCCTCCAAAGCCTCCAGCACTTCGCGCAGTCGCGGGTCCATGTCGGGCTGGAAACCTGCAATGGCATCCGGGATGTTCTGCTGGTCCTGGTATGTCGTCTTTCTCACAAACTCAGAGGGCGCAAGGTCCTCGCCGAAGACATCGCTGGCCGCACGACTGATGCTGCTGCTCATGCTGATCCCGGCGTCGCTCTGCCTGTCGTCCAGCGTGGCGGCACGAAGCGCGTCTGCCAAATCCATCTTCTGCTTGCCCTTCTTCGGCTGCTTGGCCTCGATGAAGTAGGCATCGCCGCCTCCGCTGTTGAGGTCCCGCATGTGCTGCATGTAGTCGTACTCGGAGTCGTCGTAGAAGATGCCGTAGCTGGCAGCCTCGCCCTCGTTCTTGCGCACATCAGTCGCGAATTCGGGCTCTAGGTCCTTGCGCGACTTGATTTGGCTCCTTCCAGTTCGTCCCGTGCCGGTCGTCCATCGTGAGGCGGAAGAGTATTGCGAGGCTCGCGAACTGCCTGCGGGCTCTGAACTGTCGCGCGTGTTCTTGCCTTCGATCTCGGCAAAGACCATGGACGAGGCGTTTTCATCGTGAATGCGCGGGTCATTCTGGGCGCGGTGCACGAGGCGGTAGTTGATCGCGTCCTTCTTATCGCTGGCGGGGTTAGCGGGGTGTCCACGAATTGCAAATCCAGTGCGTCCTACATAAACCTTCGGCGCGGCATGCTGGCGGTAGCGAAGTGTGGTGTGAAAAGGTGTCGTGGGTGCGCCCAGTGGGTAGGCCAACGCCCAAGAAGCGGCTAGCACAAAAGTCGGGCGGCGGACGCGGGGCGCGGTTCGACATTTCTTTTCAAAATTTAGCGAGGGGTGAATGACGATAGCGGGGGCGAGTTTTCGCCGACCACCAGAGCCCAACTCTCCCAACGCACTCAAACACACATCAACACACGACCCACAGCACCAGTCGCAACCATGGTGCTCGCAAAGTCAAAGAAGAGCGTGGGGCTGGGCAACAGCCTCATGAACGACCGCTTCGGCAAGGGCAAGGGTGCCGACATGCGCAAGGGCAACTTCCAGGGCGGCATCGAGCGGACAGGACAGAATGGAGAGAGGGTCCGTATGTGCCTGTTTCGCTGAGACGACGCGCTAACGTCTGCCAGTACATCACAAACGACAAGAAGGAGGCTGCGTGGGTCAAGATGCGCTCTGTGACGGAGCAGAACGACCTCGACGAGTTCCTTTCCACCGCCGAGCTCGCCGGCACCGACTTCACCGCCGAGAAGCTGAACAACGTCAAGATCATCCACCGCGACCAGAAGAACCCCTATCTGCTCTCCGCAGATGAAGAGCGCACCGCCGTGCGGAAACACAGAGAGAACAAGGAAAAGCTGAGCGTACCGAGGAGGCCTCACTGGGACGAGAAGACAACCCCCCAGCAACTGGACACACGAGAGCGCGAGTCGCTGCTGCAGTGGCGGAGAGGGCTGGCCGAGCTGCAGGAGAACAACGATCTTCTTATGACGCCGTTTGAGCGAAACCTCGAGGTCTGGAGGCAGCTGTGGCGCGTTATCGAGAGGTCCGACTTGGTCGTGCAAATCGTAGATGCGCGAAATCCGCTGCTGTTCCGAAGCGAGGACCTGGAGACGTACGTGAAGGAGGTGGACCCGAAGAAGAACAACTTGCTGCTAGTCAACAAGGCAGACATGATGACCTTGGACCAGCGTAAAGCTTGGGCAGACTACTTCGTGGACAAGGGCATCAACTACAAGTTCTTCTCTGCGGAGCTGGCCAAAGAGATGAACGCAGCTAGAGATGGACTTGACCGAAGCGATGAGGAAGAGGAGGATTCTGACGCCTCTGACGATTCTGATGATTATGCCGACGAGGACGACGTGGAGGAGGAAATCGACCCTGAAGGTGATGATCTTGCAAAAGAAGCCAAGAAGATTGAACTTCAGGACAAAAAGGAAGAAGAGGCAAAGCGGGTCGACGAGGAAACCGTCCCAGGTTCATCTGGTGATGTTCCTTTGTCCGACGACGAGGAGCGGATACGCATCCTGACAACCGACGAGCTTGAGGCGCTTTTCCTGGAACACGCGCCAGATGTCGACACAGGCCCGGACGGTGCGCGACGTAAGACACAGATCGGTCTCGTGGGTTACCCTAACGTCGGAAAGTCCTCCACCATCAACGCCCTCATCGGCGCAAAGAAGGTGTCGGTTTCTGCGACTCCTGGTAAAACAAAGCACTTCCAGACCATACACCTCAGCGACCAGGTCATCCTCTGCGATTGCCCTGGTCTCGTCTTCCCCAACTTTGCGACAACCAAGGGCGAGCTCGTCTGTGCAGGTGTTCTCCCGATTGACCAGCTGCGCGAGTACACTGGGCCGGCAGGCTTAGTCGCACAGCGCGTCCCCAAACCCTTCCTCGAAGCCATCTACGGAATGAAGATTGAAATCCGACCGCGTGAAGAAGGCGGTACCGGTGTCCCGACTTCGGAAGAGATTCTCCGTGCCTACGCCATCGCAAGAGGGTTCCAGACGCAGGGCTTAGGACAGCCAGACGAGTCGCGTGCAGCACGTTACATTCTCAAGGACTACGTAAAGGGCAAGTTGCTCTACGTCCATCCCCCACCGACCGAGCCCCCAACCGACGCCAGACAATTCAATCGCGAACTCTACGACATCAACCACCTCCCCGAGAAGCGCCGCCGCCACCTCGCCGCCGCGGCTGCCACTTCGCTCGCCGACAACGAAGACCCTTCCGAGATGGACGAGGACCTCGACATTGACATGGCTCCGCTCACAGGTGAGAAGGGGTCAAGGCTAGACAAGACGTTCTTCGGCGCGAACCGCACCGGGCACGTGTCACGGCCGTTCCACTACCAGTACAGCGAGCAGGGTAAGCAGCTCAGCGGGAGGAAACTGAAGGCTGTGACGGCGATGGAGAAGGGTGTGGATGTTAGCGAGCTACAGACGAGCAGCAAGAAGCACTTCAAAGCGAATAAGCGGAGGGCGAAGAAGGTTAGAGAAGAGTATGAGTAGATCGAGCATAGCTATGACGATCGATTTCGTGCAGGACAGGCGCTGGAGGGGTTGTTTTCTTGATTCCAGGGCTGACGTACTTCGGAGGTCACTATATTGATGACCCTGAATCATAAATGCAAAAATCGTATCACACGCAGGCGGGCTCTTACGAGAGCATGCCATACTTTGATGTGACCCATGAGAAAGTACGAGAGTTTTTCGTTGCGGGAGAGGGCTGTGCGCTTCTTGATCCAGAGATGATACGTCCTGAAGGATGTGGGCTTGTGTCAATCCTGGCTCTGCTGACTAGTTATGGGTCCCTCGACGATGTGACACCTTCCAGCAGACGTGGAGCCGAACAAAGCCATGCTCCGGAAGCGCTTGCAACTGCCCAAAGAAGTCCCGAAATTGCCAAATTGAACTCTACCGAGCCAGGTCCTTACAGTGAATTCACCAGGGTATTGGAGAAGCAAATCATCGAATTTGATATCGAGAATCAGAGCCGCCATCGAGCCAGCGGCATGTACCGAATTTGTAAGGCTCACAGTGAAACAAGTTTCTGGTCAAGCGCAACATTCGAAAACAGATCAGTGGGAGCGATGGAGTTTTCGGTCTCTAGGCGCGAATCGAGCCTGTCGCTGTCTTGTTCTCCGACGACATATCCAAGGATACGTATTGCTCAACTGAATCTACCAATATCGCCTCGGAAGGTCAGTCAGCCTGCCTGCCTACGTCGCTTGTCTGATGTTTTGTCGATCGTTTTGACAAAATCAGATGATTCATTCAAGTATAACGTCGTCCAGGAAATACCGGCTCTGCTGCATTATTACCAGGACTTCTTTACGTTCCATGCCACACATGCCTAACGATACCAGGAAAGATGTCATATCGTTCCAGCAAGACTGACGTCAGACCCACGTAGACCGAAGCGCTTTCAGGAGAGTCGGAAGACATGCGCTACGGGGCCACTTTGCTGTATTATGCCGTTGAATTCAACCTGCTTACATGGTTGCGATGGCTATGCGAAATAGCGGACCCCTATCTAAATGAGCAAGGTGGAAAGCTTAACTATCCGTTAATGCTCGCTATAGCCCACACCCACCACCACGTGATCAAGTATCTTATCGAAAGTGATGCTGATCCCTTTTGTCGTGACGGTGATGGTTGTACAGCGCTGCAAATGGTTGCATCAACACGCATGGCTAGTAAATTACCCCTGTATATTGCAAGCATCCTCATTGAATCTGTAAAGCGCGTTGGACCTACCAAGGAGAAAGGTTGACTACAAGACCAAGCCAATCGAGATCGAATTGCTCCACTACATCTTACCTGCCACGAGGGCCCGAAGGCGATAGTCAGCTTCCTTGTATCTCGTGGTTCAAGTCCTTATGTGAAAGATGGGCACGGGCGTACTAGGTTCCACTTAGCTGCTCGTAGGTCAACAATTCAGGCCATGGAAGGACTTGCCTGGAACAAAGGTCCGCCGAGACGCTGCCACCTGGAAGTTAAGGACAAGAATGGCCGGGCGCCAATTCATCTTGCAGTTTCTCTGTCATCAATCTGGACTGTGAGGAAGTTGATCGATCATGGAACGTCTAGATATGAGAGTTTCCAAAGGCCGCACCCCATTGGATCTTGCATACGCTCGGTTGCCAAACCAGGAGAACCTTAACGAACTTCTGAGGTAGCTTGCTGATTGACCGTCCTCGGTCGGTGAAATGATTCAGCGCCTTCAGCCTCGTAGAAAGCATTGAAAAAGCTGCCCAATACAGGTCAAGAGCCGTGTTCGTCCTGAGAACCAACCTCAAGGGGCTGGACACGAGAGTCTCGCTCGAGACGTTGCCCATGCACCTTTGCTCGTGGCTGGTAGTGTATCTCAATATTCGATAACTTAACTAGTGACCTCATGCTTAGAGCATCGATGATGAGAGCACTGGTACCTTGTTTGCGACAACAGCAAGACATACTCTTTCACAGCTGCTGAAAGATACAGCGCCAGCGATGAACCTGGCTAAGCTGGGAGCAGGAATTGAATTCAGCTTGTGTAATATCAACAACAAGATCGACGGTTCTCGGACCTGCGAAGTCCGCTGAATATCTTTCTACACTGATCTCCGGGCCGCTTCAAGATACAAGGATGACGGCAGCAATGGATGACCCCTTGGCAGCTCAAGAAGCCGTTCATTGTCTGGGCTATATATAATACCACTTTTAGCGGCCAACGATCGTGGTATCTTTGTGGTCGGCAGAACGAGTAAGGGGAGAGGTTGATTGTAATCTCCAGTCGATGTCTTGAATGTACAGTGTTTGTACCACTTCCACCCGCCGCTCATGTACGTTCGCCCGCAAGTTCGTCCGCCGCGTCTTCAGCCCGAAGATTGGAAATCCGCCCATGATCCCCCTCCATCGTTTGAGTCTACCGCAAATGTATCGGGCAGTACCCGTTGGGGTATGGCGGACCTACCAGGGATAGTAGAAGCCGCGCGGCAAGGACCCTGTCGAAGTGAGTACTTTTCGATTGGTTGAACGTTGATGGTGCACTTTACATAATCCTCAAGCCGCGCGGGATGTCGTTCTAAATCGCAATTGGTAAGGTGCATCAGCATTCCATGTGGTGCTTCCACGTGCTCGACTCTCAACCCAGCCACTGAACCCGCCGACAAGTCGGATACAATATCGGAGCATACTTTGCCGACAAACCTTTGAACTAGATCCTCTCGGTATCGGATGTTGGAATCCAGACGGTAACTCCGAAGGACTAGCTAATGGCCTAGCCTTGCTATCTATCACACGCTTGACTTAGCTTCCGTGTGTCCTTATGTTGACAGGAGACAGAGATTGATGTTTCAACGAATGGAATCTTTTCACGCCATCGTCGTTGATTTATATCATGTGCTTTGATTGCTCAGATCCTTTTCTCAAGTACATACGCTTTTCTGTTCTCCTGGCTGGACTCTCCATCCCCTTGCTTTGCAAACGGCAACAAGCCATACGGGTTGAATTCTCATTACTACCTTTGCACACCACCATGACTACCCCCACTCAAATGATGCCCGTCTACTTTCTCGGCATCGGCGGGCCCAACTTCATGGAGAACACCCACCACCCTGCCTACGCCCAGCTCACATCGGTCGGCAACGAAATCACCACGCGCGTCAAGCCAAAAGCCATAGTCGTCTTCTCTGCGCACTGGCAGGGCGGCCATACCAGCATTGCCATCAATGCAGCTGAGGAAACGGACATCATCTATGACTTCTACGGCTTCCCGAAACATTACTACGAGTTCAAGTACCCCAGCAAGGGCAGTCCTGAGCTCGCGGACAAAGTCGCGACTCTGCTAGAGAAGAGCGGCGTCAAGATTGAGAAAGTGAAGCGGGGGCTGGACCACGGCGTGTGGGTCAGGTTTGCAGCTGGTCAGTATGTCGTGCGACGAAAGCAGGCGCGCGATCGCTGATACTTTCATTCCCAAGCCTTCGATCCAAAGAAGAACCCACTGCACGTCCCAATCGTACAAGTCTCGCTCTTTGCGAACGAAGACGTCACCTAGCACTACCGTCTGGGACAAGCGCTGCAAAGTCTGCGTCAGGAAGGCATACTGATTGTTGGTGCAGGTATGGCGGTGCACAACCTGTACGATTTCCGCGCCACCAGAGGGACGGGGAGAACTATGCCGTAAGGGATCATTCAAAATTCTGTTGGATTGTCACTTCTACTAATAGCATCAAGGTACGTTTTCACATTCGACGACGCACTCAAGGAAGCTGCGACCACGCTGCCAGAGGACCGAGAGGCCAAAATGGCGGGATTGTTGAACCGTGAGGATGCGAGAAAGGCTGCCCCTACATTAGAGCATCTGCTTCCAATGTATGTTGTTGCCGGGGCCGCGAATAATGATACTGGGGAGCGGCTGTGGACGCTTACAGAGGGGAGCTTGAGCTGGGCGCAGTATCGCTTTGGAAAGGTTCCTGGGGCCTGAAACTGATTCTGACGCATTCAGTGATATTCGGAAGCCATATTTACCCTGCATAGTGGCTGATACAGAATGGAGTTTAGTGCACTTATCCCGTAGAAGCTCACTATAATAGGGTTGAGAACGTACAATCTACAGTGAGCCCCGGGACAGCATGTCTACTAAGCGCAGTTTTCCCCGCCAGGCATTGTGCTGATACATGCATTAATTCGTTGAATTCCTGATTGACGGAGTTTGATTGATTCGGGGGAATATACTATTGCAGCACGTGATTCCATAACGAGTGGCCAGAGTAGTAGTAGGCATGCCTATAGACCACTTGAAAGAACGCGATGTCCACTTTTGTCGTGCCAGCATCCCGCTGCAATGTTGGAACCTTTGGAATGAAAAGTTTGCTCAATTATAGCTCGACAGGGTTGTCGCTTCAATGCGACCAGTTAGCATCATTGTGAGACTGAATATCATTTCACCCTCAGATACTCTCTGACTTCCAGAACGCATAGCTTATGGCATGTTGTGTTCACCGCCAGACTCGAGCAACTCTGTAGGCGCTGATCTTCGCGTAGCGGAGCTCGCATCGCCACCCGAGAACAACCATCAGTAATATAGCTCATTGCATCTTGAACACTGATAATTTTCTACACTATCGTCTTCATGCACCAGAACGTCACCAGTGCGCGCGCTCCTGACGGCCATGAGGGTCGCTACAGGAGTGCTATCCGTGAGTCTACGGTTGCATCTACGTCACGTGAGTCGCCTTCACCGGTGGACCGTGAGGTCCGTGCAATTGTTCCTGGCGTCTCATTTGGCGGCCAGGTGCCATTACGATTCCACTCGTCGCCCCTCCCGTCGGTGGCGTTAAGGGTTTTGGATTCACGGCTAGTTGACCAGCGGGGCGCAGTGGCGGCCTGGGACGACAGTGGCGATCTAGACCGCGCAGATTGGAGCCCACTTGGCGTCGATGGCGATCTCTAAATTCCCATCCTAATTCCCGAATTCCAGAGTAGCTGTCCCGTGCAACCCTCCTGCACCGCAAAACCCAACCAAGGCCCCTCGTGTTTGTGGCGGGGTAACTGTCGTGCGCGCGCCTGACGGCTGGATCGAAGCGGAGAGCGCATGGACGCGCCGACTGGAGGGACCTGCATCGCGACATGACGAGAACCCCCCCGAAGCCCCCAGTGGCCGTGCGAAAACGGGAACGCGATGTTCATCTGTTGTACGGGTCTGCCTTTCGGGACCTGCCCAAGATCGAGGCCCCCGATCAGCACCACACGCCCCGCGCATCGGCCGACTCCACCTTGATCGCCCTCGCCCAGCTCGCTGCGACGCGCCTGCAAGCTGCACGCGCATGCGTGACCTTGATAGACGAAAACCACCAGCATTTCTTAGCTGAAGCCACACCAACTCTTCCACTCCGCCCGAAGCCCGAGGATGCCGCCGCGGCGCTGTGGCTGGGCAATGTTAGCGTTCCGCGCTCGTGGGGCGTGTGTGAAGAGGTGCTGGAAATGAGGACCGACGCCGCCCTGGTCATCAACGACCTTTTGCAGGATCAGCGATATGCCCAGAAAAGCTTCGTGCAAGAGGGTCCCAGATGGCGCTTCTACGCAGGGGTTCCCTTGATTAGTCCTCGCAACACCGTCGTAGGCGTGCTATCACTCTGGAACCACGAACCTCGCTCCGAACCTGGCCTCTCTAATATAGATGTTACGCTTCTCCAGGACTTTGCTGCAACCATTACAAAGTATCTGGACACGTACACTCTCAGAGACCAGTACCAGCGCGGCGAGCAGTTTACCCGCGGTTTGCTGTCTTTTGCCCAGGGAGCATCTGCATTGAAACCTTTCAAGGTCTTTTCAGATGACGGCTCGAATCGCTCTGGGTCCGCTGGGTCCGCTGGGACCGGGTCAGCTCACAGTGCCCAAGTCTCGTCCCTAGGTTCGCGGACTATTCAGGCTTCAACCTCCAACGAGAGATCCATTGGCACGCTCCAAAATTCCATCCTACCTTTGCACTCCAAGGACATGTTCTCCCGTGCTGCCAACGTCATGATGGCCTCCAGCAATCTAGACGGTGTGTTGATACTTGACGCATCTGTTGCAGCGACTGGCCACCGTCAATTCCCGGGAAGTAATGAAGAGGAAGCGGGTTCGGGAGAATCGTCGAATTCCGCCTCTTCGAGTAGCGATACTGGTAGCACCGTGAGCAGTCGCCACGAGATGCACGAGGAAAAGTCGCCCAAAAAGTGCTCGGTCCTTGGCTATGCATTACGCGGGAGATCTAACAATGACGGAACCGAGTTTGGCACTTTGCTGGAACGAGACCTTGCGCGGTTGCTCAAAGAGTGGTCTACAGGGAAGATCACAAATTTCACCGCCACGGGTGCATCTGTGTCGTCCACCGATGACACATCTTCGAATGCCAGTGCTGGAGAAGAGGGCGCGTTAGATCCGAAAAAGAAGGGCGGCCGAAGATTCAGGAGTTCAGCTGCGGTCCATGCCCTGCTTCCCAATGCGAGGAGCGTTGCGTTTGTGCCATTTTGGGACTACGAGCGCTCGAGATGGTTTGCCGGGTGCCTATGTTGGAGCAACAGCCCACAGCGCCTGCTGTCCTCGACTGTGGACCTCAATTACTTCAAGATATTCAGCGACTCCATTATGCGAGAGCTGTCCAGGTTAGATGCTCTTGCATCACATCAGCAAAAGACCACGTTCGTGGCGTCCATCTCTCACGAACTGCGTTCCCCATTACATGGAATCCTCGGTACCCTCGAATTCATCAAGGATACGAAACTTGATTCTTTCCAGATCAGCATGCTGAACTCTTTGCATTCATGCGGACAAACTCTTCTCGACACGATTAATCAAGTAATGGACTACGCAAAGAGCAATGAGGCTGGGAAGACCGTTTCTTCTCGAAGGCTTAAGAACTCTAATACGATACGTCTTTCTTCGAAACCACTAAAGACACGCAAAATCAAGCAGCCGTCTTTCGATTTGAGACTCGCCACTGAAGAAGTCGTTGAAGCTGTATTTTCCGGCTCTCTATACATCCCCGTACTCGATCCTAATGAGAGCGTCACAACGCCACCAACCGAGCCCGAATTCAATCCTGTGCTGAACGAAGAGCTACCTACATCATCAAATCGCAAGCAGTGTTACATTGTACTGGACCTAGCCCAAGACGACGATTGGGTTCGTTGCTTTCCCGTGGGTGCGTGGAAACGAATTGTCATGAATCTCTTTGGAAACGCCATCAAGTACACCGAGAGTGGTCATATCCAAGTATCGTTAAGAAGCAGTGAATCCAAAGACAGCGATAAAGGAGAGGCCACGAGCACCATCACCCTCACAATCAAGGATTCCGGCGCCGGCATGTCCCCTTCGTTTCTGGCAAACAAGGCTTTCCAGCCGTTCTCACAGGAGAACTCACATTCTTCGGGGGTGGGCTTGGGACTCAGTATCGTCCGACAAATCATCGAGACGAGTGGAGGAAAAATGGAGGTCAGCAGTGAGCCTTCTGTCGGCACTACATTTATCGTAAAACTTTCTCTCACGAAGCCAACTGACCCGCCGCCACCGCTTCCCAAAATAACGGAATACCTTCCTGCGGTGGCTCGTTTGGCGGGACGTCGCGTATGCATTCTGCATAGGAAACACCATTCTCCCAGCGAAACATCAGACTCTTTTGGAAACAGCGTTGGCCTCGGACGGTTCACAGATGCGTTGAAAAATACTCTGGAAACGCATTTCAAGATGCAGGTCGTACAAACAGAAGACTGGTCTGGTCACGAAGCCGACATTGTTATATGTCCGGAGCCCTCCTTTGAATACCTCGACACCATAAGGAGGTGGAGAGTCAATAACGAACGCGCGCCAGTCACCGTGTTCGTTGCCATGGACGCACTCGAAGCAGCTACCTTTAGGTCTGACGTCCGGGTTGACAACAAAGAAAGCGTGGTGGAGATCATGACTCAACCGTAAGTTCAAAACTCAGATCCCCTTACACACTGACTGACATTACTAGTTGTGGGCCTTATAAATTGGCTTACATTCTCGGCCGGTGTCTTGATCGCTTCGACGATATCAGTGAGAATATCCCAAGCAATACTAGTATTGCTCCCTGCCCGAGAGGTAGTTGTTACTCTTCCTGACACAATCCTGCAGATTCACAAGAGCAAGTATCATTTCCCCAGCCGAAGTCGCTAGAGCCCCCTCTGCTTCGCCACGGATCACCCGAACAGTTCGTAGAATCACCACCTCCTCCAGACTTTGACATCGACAACTTGAAGTCACGTGTTACCCAAATAGTGTCGCACGTTCCAGAGAGCGCACCGGTGGTCTTGAAGAATGTGCTACCCATACGCTCCAAATCCACAGATCCGCATGTGCTTGTTGTTGACGACAATGTCATTAATCGCAGGGTAGGTTTATGACGCCGAGCGCCATCTAGGAAGACGTGCTGACATATCGCAGCTCCTGGTGACCTTCCTCAAGAAGCAAAAGTACAGTTACTCCGAGGCTGAGAACGGCTTGACAGCATTACAAATGTATCAGAATCCCAATACTCGCTACGATTTCATTCTAATGGGTATGTGCGCCTGGGTAGCGCCCATCTTCCGTTGATGTCGTTGCTAACGGTTCAACTAGACATGTCGATGCCGGTGATGGATGGCATGACAGCCACGCGAGCTATTCGACAATACGAACAAGCTTACAACGTATCTCGATGCTGTGTTGTCGCGCTGACGGGTCTTGCCTCCAACAGTGCGAGGTTGGAAGCCTGGAATGCGGGCATCGACCAGTACATGACCAAGCCCGTCAACTTCAAGAAGCTTGCGGAAATACTTAATCAGGAGACGACCAGGAGAGCTAGTGCGGAAGAAGCGAAGCAGGTCACTTAGCGCAGTTTGTTTTTCCTATGGCCGGAGTAACAGTTCATTTAGAGGAGGGAAGCGCACATTTGGGTTGCTACAGGAGGAACACGAGGCTGGGTCTCGGGATGTGACGGACGGCTCTGCGATAGCGTATTACTTTATCCTTGTCTCGCTCTTGCCGCCGGTTTCCCGCGTACCGCCATGGCGAACCCCATCATCTTAAGCCCCTAATCTACCTTTGCAGATGGCTAGAAACAAGGCACTTACTTTTTTCGCCGAAGATGTATGGGGAAAACCTCCGCGCGACAGCACGACAGCCATAAAACAGTCTAGAAGAGACACTGGCCTAGAAAATAACCAAGACCTGCCTCTCCCTCCACTCCTCAACAAGCATGACACTCAGCCGCCGTACCGCCTTGTCCTCGCTCGTATGGAACCTCCAGTCCCGCATCAACACCAGGCCTTGCCCATCGACTACGAAAGCAGTGTTCGTTTTCACGGAAGTTCCGGACGCGCTCCGGACGTATTGCTTCATCACTTTTACCGTGCATTCCGAGGAAGAGGTGTACTTCTGAGCGAGGAAGAGGTTGTTTGCGCGTTGGACTCGGGCGTGAGGAGTGTTGTGGGGAGAGGTGGTGGGGTTATAGGGTTGATGTGGGTGGTTAGACTGGGGTGGTGTAGCGCGCTTCTTGAAGAACGAAAACATGGCTACTTAGGGTTGGGTTCGTTCAGTTAGTTTATTGTCTATTGTTAGCAGTAGCTGGTAGGTTGCAAGCGTTTGCGTGCTTGTGCTGGGGTTCGGGTTTTGTTTCTCGAAGGCCCAACAACAGAATTAAGTGTGTCTATAGTAAGAGCAAAGTTGCAAGTACACTCTGGATACATTATGGAGAAGGATGAAGAATCTCGGCTCCAGGCGTCGTGAGTGTACAAAGCATGACCGGAGCCGTGTACCGCGAGAATGAGTCAAGCATATTAAGTTCCAGGTGAGTTTCATACGCTTGTGCCCCTCGGCATCCCGATCCCAACTGCAGCAGTCGCACCTGCATCGACAGGCAATATCGTGCCTGTGATCCATCTCGCGTGATCACTGGCAAGGAAAACCACAGCGCATGCTGCGTCCCATGCGTTCCCCTCTGTGCCGAGGAGACTCCTCTTTTTCCGTGCATCTCGCGCCTCCTCGCTCATCCCTTTCGCGTACATCATGGGGGTGTACAACATCTGTCACGGTCAGAAAATGTGCCGGCCTTGTAGAAAGCTGGGGAATTGGGAAGAAAATGTATGCAGGGTGTACTTACACCAGGGCATACACAATTCACCCGTATCCCACTTTCCGCGTGATGTGCGGCCATCGCTCTCGTCATATTCACCACGGCGCCTTTGCTAGTGGGATACAAGAGATGCGGCGTCCCTCCCTTCAAACCTGCCACACTTCCCATATTCACTATGCTCCCTCTTACTGGACCTTCATTTTTCATCATTGCAGGGATGGCGTACTTCGCCATGAGTACCATGCTCGATATGTTCACCTCCAGGCCCTTGGCGAACGCTTCCATGTCCACATCTACCGCGGTACCCTGCGCGCCTCCTATCCCAACATTATTAACCAGGATGTCCAGTCTTCCAAACTCTTTCAACGCAAGTTGCACGGAGGCCTCACAGTCCTGCGCTTTGGAGACGTCGCACTGGAATGCCACAGCTTTACCGCGACCAGGTTTTGCATTCGCCATCAACACTGTCCTCTCGGCATTTTGGAAGTCCATATCTAAGCAGAGAACATTGCAGCCTTCGTCGGCAAGCATTATGGTTATTGCGCGTCCATTTCCGACGCCGTTTCCAACACAACCGGCGCCGGTGACGATGGCCACCTTGCCTTTGAAGCCACGAGATGGAGGTTCTGTTGAAATGTCCTGCATGACGGAAATTAAATATGTGCGAAGGATTGGGTACAAATTGCAGGTATCATCGATTTAGATAGAGCTTGGGAGCTGCAACTTGATGTCAATTGAGTTTGATTGTGATTTCAGGGACAAACATCTCTGGGACCGTCCGAGCATCCCCCGCGGACATTCCAACAGCCAATCACTTGCATCCTGGGAGGTCTATGCGTTTTCAGCCTTTATACATTGTGCAACGTTTAGTGCAAAAAGTGCCGAGGTTCGGATGAAGATGCGGGGGTGGGGCATACAAGCGCTGGCCAATGTGCGTTTGGATGATCTCAACTCAGCTTACTATTCCGCGGGAATCTCTGCTGTCTATATACTCTCAATAAGTACCCTTACTTGGCTCCCGTGAAAACTAGCTGCGACTTTACCACAAGATACCCTTACCCGTAAAATTCTCAGTTTCGTCCCAACAACCATGTGCGACTTCAGCGAATACGGCGGCCCCTCGGCAGAATGGCTCGAGGTTGAGAAGACTCTCCCAGTTCCTTTCTTCGACTTTGGTCAAGATCCCAAAGTAGCCCAAGCCACAGTCAACAACGGGCGTGAAGATGCATCCCGCAAAGTGATGCAGCAACTCGGACCACATGTACGCATGGCGGATCACTCCATTCCGACTCGTGACGGATCAACCATCGAGGCCCGGACTTACCGAGCCGCATCAAAATCTGACGACGAAATACTGCCGGCGTATCTATACTTTCATGGCGGCGGCTTCATCTTCGGCACGTTGGACAGCGAGGATGCGGCGTGCGCCGGCACCGCGATCAACACTGGAGCTGTGGTTATCAATGTCAACTACCGGCACACACCTGAATACACTTTCCCTACGGCGTGGAACGATTCCCAGGACGCTTTTATTTGGCTGCACAAGAACACGGACAAGCTAAAGATCGATTCGTCAAAAGTTGTGGTGGGCGGCATCAGTGCAGGTGGACAGCTCACTGCTGCGTTGGTATTGGAGAAACATCTCGGCAAGAATGACGCTTTGAATGGACTTCCCGATATTGCTGCGCAAGTCCTCATCATCCCAGCCCTAGCCCATTGCGAGACTTACGCAGAAGGAGCACTGAAGTTGATGAAAAGCCAGGAGATATCATCGATCGTAGAAAACGAGAATGCTCCAATACTGCCGATGTCTGCTGTCCGAACCTTCACGCAGCTTCTCAAGATACCGAACACCGACTTGAAGGACGTACGGATCAACACTCTCACCGCAGCATCGGCAGAAGATGTTAAGGGGCTACCACCCACGATGTTTGGGATTGCCGGGCTGGATCCGCTACGAGACGAGGCACTTCTGTACGGGAAGTTGTTGTCGGAAGCTGGGGTTCCTACCGAGGTCAGGCTATTCAAGGGTGTCCCGCACGGATATCGGAGATTCGGACCTGCGTTGAAAGAGGCTTCTGCTCAATGGGACAAGGCTGTTGAAGATGGCATTGCGTGGGCAAACAAAACACCAGCGGCAACCGGCAAATTCGTTATCAAGGTAGTGTAATGATGAGTGTCGTACGTACAGGTGCGCAATGCATAGTAGTATTACCACTACCAATCAAGATCATTCTTTGCCATAAAATGCTGTATGATCTTCATCAAGCTACCTGAGTAGCATCTGACACATCGGTCTCGCCCTCACTAGATCTCATTTCCTCGAAACGGGTCATTTCTTGCCGCATTTCCTCTGCAAGTGCCTCAGTACTCCGATCCATATATTCAATCAGGTGTTCCATTCGTATCAGATCAGCTTCAATTCTTTTCTCCTCCTCTTCAGTGCATGAAGCTACATCCAATCTCAATTCAACACCAACCCTTTCAAAATCGCCAATGAGCTCATGACCAGTGAACATGGAAGCAGGCCGCCAGGAGCAGTCGATTCTCTTTAAGCTTGGTAATTGTTCGGTGCAGTCAACAGCTAGGTCTAACAAAGCCTGCACGACATAATCGTCCCATTCAACATTGATGACCAACGTCTCCAATGCGGAAGGCAAAATAGAGGAAAGTCGACGTTGTGTGATTGCATCATCATCGTCGTCGTTCCAAAGCACCATGCCAGAAACCTCAACATGCTTTAGGTATGTGAACTCGCGCAGGCTTCCAATTGTTGGTATATCCTGGTCTAGTTCGACCAGCCAAGAAGATTCCAGAGTGTCCAGAATAAGCGATTCTAATGAGGGTTCGAACCTTTCAAGGCTTTTGCGAAGTTCTTGCAGGTCAATCGCTGCCCCTGGGACGCCTTCATTGCCTGCGGTCCACTTGCAATGAAATCGTCGCAGGAAAGTACAAGAACTAAGAAGGTTCTCTAGATCGACATGACTGACATTGCCGTCAAGAGCTATACATTCGACTGGCACCAATTGTAACTCTTCCCAATGTACGGGAGTGCCCCTGAAATCTCCCATTGGATGGTGGCGAGATTTCCAAAGATTCTCCAGCAAGATCCCTCCTGCCTCGACTTGACCATGTCCAATTTTTGAAAGCAAAAGGACAGCGGGGCTGAATCTTGTCGCAGAAGATCCTGAGATGTGAATGATGATACCGTTATCGTCGACATTTTTCAAGAAAACGTCGCGCAAAGCAAGATTAGCGTACAGATCGTATATCGCTCCCCAGTGCCAGCTCTCCTCGATTGCGAGACCTTGCAAATTTGGGGCGAGCCGAATGAGTGTGGAAATGACAATAGTACAAGGCAAACAGGGATCCGGCATGCCCTTCCAATTGTAAAGGTCGTAATTGATAGTCGTTAGGCCGCCCAGCTTCGTTTCCAGCGACGGCCCAAGTGCCCCATCAAAAGCTGTGCCACCTGTTTCGATATACCGGACGAGTTCCAATACTTCTGGTTTTCGCTCGATAGTGTTCAAGAGAGAGCCGACATTTGACCAGTCTGTGCTTCTTCCGAGTTTGGTGATGGATTCATAGAGATATGGAGTTACGATACTATTGAGTCGACGGCACGTGAGAGTCAGCCCGTGTAATGCTGCGATTCGCTGCGCATTCTCTGTTTGTCGTGATGTCTCTTCCTCTGGGACGGGAAAATAACCGCGAGTAACTGTGAGATATTGTAGGATCTCGAGAATGAGCTCCCCAGGCAGCTCGCTCAGCTTAGGGGAATTGCCAGAGCTCTCTGGAAGTTTTGCCATGGCAAAAGGCTGCAAGCAGGGGTGACAGAGCCGATTCTGGTGTGCCCCTGGAGGCAGTGTGTTACCCCAGGATAGCTTCTGCCAAAGGTAGTCGCACGAGGGTAAGAGCAGTGTGTCATTCCAGAATAGTGTTGAAAGATTACACAAGCAGGGTAAGATCGCCCCATTACGTAAGCCTATCGATAGCACAGACCTGTTGTCTCATCTCTAAAGCACGACTTGATCTCCAAACCAGCATCAACGTAGTAGACGCATGGCCCTCTCGCGGATGCATGTTGCAGGGGCCACCAACCTTATCATGTAGTTGATGGAGCATTTCAGCCTCGTATGGCGCGATCATACCCCGCTCTCTCGTCATTACCGCTTCCAAGGAAGACGCACCACCAAGCGCGCCATCCAGCATGGGCAGACGAAGTAGAGCTAATATATAGACAGGGCGCCGATAGGACCTCATTGATCGCTGACCTGTAGCCCTAGAGCGTTTCTCAGCTCGACAACACTGCGGACCCATCATGTCATCCCATGTAGAGCAAAACCTGGTTGAGGGCAACAAGGCTTATGCAGCCGCATTCACGCAAGGCCATCTTGCGCTTCCACCGAGCCAGAAATATGCCGTGCGTAAGTATACTTGGATACGAACAAGTCTGATGTAGCTGACAAGCAATCCACAGTGACTTGTATGGATGCTCGAATCGACCCAGCCGCAGCTTTCAACATCCCGCTGGGCGCTGCCCACGTCATCCGAAACGCTGGAGCCTCAGCCCGCGATGCCTTCCGATCGCTCGTTATAAGTCAGCAACTGCTCGGGACAACCGAGGTGCTACTCGTCAAACACACGGGCTGCGGCATGTTGACTTTCGATAACGACACTGCGCGGGGGCTTGTGAAGAAGAACAAAGGCGAAGCGGCAGCGAAGGAAGTTGAGAATATTGACTTTATAACATTCTCAGAGTTGGAAGAGCAAGTCAAGGATGATGTGGCATGGCTCAAGAGCAAGGCGGTGGAGGAGGGCGTAGGGGTCACGGGATGGATATATGAGGTTGAGACTGGGCAGGTCCGGAAGGTAGTTTAGCTGTGATTCAGTATGTCGTATCCACACATTTTTTCCGACATTCCACCTCGTCATACATGCATGAAGTTTATTCTACTCGCCTTAAATCTTGTCGCACTTGATCACAGTAGATTACAATAGAACTGTACTATCTGTAGCTATAAACTCCGAAGATAGACTATCAAACCATACTTTTACAACTATATTATATAGTATGTTGCTACATGATGAAGTATAGTAAGGGTCTAACGGTTTGTGAAGGTACATCCAAATAATTTCGTTAACGGTATACCTAGACGCAACTTACGTATTATTCTTGATCTGAGCTACATCCGATGCAGTGTACACAGTGGGTGACATGAACATGGTACTTTTTGTTATTGCGGAATCTCGGGATAGATTATTATATTATACTTTTACAACTGAATTATACAGTGAGTTCCTCAGGGTAAGGAATAGTAAAGCTCATTTTTTTTTTGGTGTTATCTACTGTGGAGCAGGCTGCCGCTGGTTATCTACCTGGTTCATAGCCAGGAAGAGCCTACGTAGATGGTAATTACAATTTAAAAGGGGCTGAATACTTGATGTCTGAACACATACGTCACGCGGGAACCATCGTGCACTGCATTGTACAGGGGATCCGCGTCGGAATCCGGCCAAGCTGATCGTGAAAGACCGGCTTGCGATACGCTACATGAAGTTGGTCATTACGGAATTGAGGGAACTGGACCGGGGGAGGCACATGCTCCCAGGCGACGGCTGGCCGGGCAGCTGCGACAAAGGCCATGTTGACTTTCATGACTTAAGCGAAAGAGAAAAATTAAATTCGTGGTCGTGATGTGATGAGTCGTGGTGTTCGCGAGAATCCTACGCTACGCGTGAAACCTGAAGCCGTCCTGCCTGGAATGTGATTCCACGTTAGTTGAAGTAGAGTGTGCAAACCATGTCAGATTGTATCAACCACGTCCACTGCAGTCACTATTTTCAGTGGAGAAAATAGCATCCTCGCGCTGTGATAGACCTGCTCAATTTCAACTATCAAATTCTCGTGCTTTATATGCGTGAACACATAGTATTCTTTGACCCGTTAGGAGCCTTGAGGAATGGCGATATTTCCGACATGCCATGTATGCTCGCTGGCGAAAGCTGCAAAATGTTTGCAGAGCTAAGCCAAGTCGATATCCACGTTTGGTCCATGATCGTGGCTCTGAATTTGCGCCTGGTTGTGGCAATCCTGCCTACGAATCGTGAGAAGAATTGTGGTTTATAAACCTTCTCTTTGTCTGATTGGGCCCACACGTCGTAGATTTAGTCGGCCTATTCGCTTCTCAAGTTCATGATGAATCATGGCTGTTTTTTTAGCTCGCAGGAATGCTACATGTGGGTCGGCGAGTGCTTGGTTGAGAGCCACTATTACGGATCCCATCCTGCGCGACTGCTCCCCGAAAATAGCTTTGTACCGAACATCGCCCTGAGACTAACCATCACCTTGCGAGGTCCGTGTCTGGGTTTATGGTCAACTAAATTATGTATCTCGTTGGAAGTTTTCCTCGGATCTTGAGGTCGTTTACCACTGATAGTCTGGATGCATCGGAAGTTGCGATTAGGGGCTGAGGATATGAAAGTAAAGATGAGGCGACTTTGGGACTTGTTTGACCTACTAATGCCTTTCATCTGGACATTTCCTTTGCTAAGAGGACCAAATCTTGCAGTTTATATATGTCCGATGGATCCTTTATACGTTTCGCGGACGGAGGTTCCAGTAACCAGAGGTGTATATATAATTGCCAGCTTTAAGAATAGAACAGGAACCTGGAAACTCGCGATACTATTCTCCCCTGCCATCAAATCCGTGAAGAGATTTACGTCAAAGAAAAAATTGTTTACCACACAAATCAAGCAAATTTCTAGAACACTAAAGGCTCTCGAAGGTTTCATCCACATGAACTAGGGCAGGCTCCCGATGTCAAAGTTGGAGCTTTGAATAGTTACACTGGTACAAGATATCGGCCTGGGATCCGTTTGCCTGCACAGAATGAAACCGCCCTGGCGAATTGCACTTGTCACCGCGACACTTCCTCCCCTGACTTTATTTGCAGCCTCAGCATTTGCAATCCAGAAGCATGCCCAAGTGCGAATAACCTAGGCCTAGACGCATGCGTGCATGTAAAACGCTGGGCTGGCGCGTGTTGCCGAATCTTGCGAACAAATGTCTAAGTCTACAATATCTTGGATGCAAACTCAGATTCTAGGAGTACAGCATGACGGACCATCAAACTCTGGGTCAGATATATGGGCGAGACATGATTTCAAAGGTCGTGTGCGCGACTCTCGGCAAGACTTCCCGAGAGTTTTGCAAATGTCGGAGGTCTCACTTCCAGAGTCGCTACGGTATGTGCAGCTCGGCCTCCTGAACAGCATGGAGCACATAAAAATGAACCCTTATAACTAATAAAGACGTACGTCCATAAGAAACCCTTCGTCAACATCGCACCATGCCGAATCACAGCATCTGCGATGGCGATCATAGAAATGGTAGCGTTGCGCTTTGCAGCCATATGGGCGCTACTATGTGACGGTGGTACGTGGATGATTACAGATTCTATGCCGGGCTAACCAGCTGTCCTCTACGATCTATCACCTCCTGAATGGACACCAAAGGACCCATGGCCTGCACCTTCCGAGTCAGGTACCGGGTCTCTTCACTGGCATACCGACACCTGGCGCCCATTCCGCAACTATATGCACTCTTCCAGGCTTTCGGTCGCCATGTGTACGGTTAAGGTTTGCAGGAACGATGAAACAGCGAAGAAGAAGATGGCGTAAATACCCTTGAAGTTGAATGACATATTGAGATCTCGCGGGCGTGCTTTCCGTGGCCGAAGGATCGACCGCACATGAACCTGAATCTTATGTGCTGATGGAACGAGGGTCGGTTATCGCGGCCAGAAAAAGTGTCAAGGATTTCTTCAATTGAGTTCATGTTCATGATGGGCTAACCTGTTGGATACGTTCAGCCATTGAGCCTGGTAATCGTAACCTTTGGTATGTTGCATGCAGCTCGCTCAGCATTCCACTGATTGATGAAAGCGTCATCCCTCATTTTACCAACTACTATAGAATAGGTCACGACCAGCTCATGTATTGATACCAAATTCTCTTCGCGCTCCTTCTTGTCGAGCGCTGTAGACTCTCACTGGTTCTGGACTGCCATCCGGGCTGAGTCAGAACCAAGCACGCGCGAAAATGAGGAGCTGATGTTCGCTGACTATATTAACTATGACTTGCCAACTTCATGATGCAATCATTTACAGCCTACTCGGGTGACTCGACTGAGGCTTCTTTTCCGATGTGGATCTGACGTAATCCTTTCCAGATCATCATGCTCACCCTTTAGCTGGCTTGGTACGCTATAAATATCTTTACCTTGCCAATAGCAAGACGATACATGGGGCTAAAAGGATCTCGTCGCTGAACTTCTGACTTACCAACAGGGTTCCAGGTTGCTCACTAATGATCATTGCAGCAGACCAGGATGATGAGTGTTCAACTTATAAAGAGCCATGCCAGTGTTTGGAGATATCCGGAGCTCTCTTTTTACAATACGCGCATCTGGTCATGAAATTCATGCTGCTTCCCATCATAGCACTATTTATATGGTTTCACAGCACTGCCTGGGCCTCCCAGAAATGTCCGTCGTGGAGACCTCCTGGGAACGACGACGTGCGATCGCCATGTCCCCTTCTCAATAGCCTAGCGAACCACAACTTCATTCCCCACAATGGAAGAAATCTTACTGTCCCGTTGGTCGTCAACGTACTCAACGAGACTCTAAATATCAGCCCCGAGATTAGCGAATTCTTCGCCTCGGCTGGTCTCAGCCTCGCATCTGATCCATCGCTTGGTCACTTCCAGCTAGACGATCTCAATAAACACAACGCTATCGAACATGACGCATCGCTGTCTCGTGTGGATTTTCACTTTGTCGGGAAAGAAGGAGTCGCGAGGTTCAATTACGCAACGTTCAAACGCTGGTTTTCGCACTTCCATGGGCAGGAGTTTATCGATATTGAGAGTGCGGCAAGGGCACGATTCGCCATGATCCAGCATTCGAAAAAGTACAATCCAGAGTTCACCTATGCCGACACGCAACGGCTCGCAAGTTATGTTGAGACAAGTCTTTACTTTAAGACTATGGTCGACGAATGGGGCCGCACCAGGAAAGACTTTGTGAGGGTCCTGTTTGGTAAGAGCATGAAAGGAAAGTATCATATTTCGTCGCTAATGGTCCTCTAGAGGAGGAGAGGTTACCCTTTACCGAAGGCTGGCGGAGACCTACAATGCAATTCGACGGTTTGGCACAAACTGACACCGTACTGCAATTAGCCTTGGCGACCCCTGAGAAGACAATTTGGACTGGTGGAGAGTTACAAGGAGAAGCGAGCGATGGTAGCGTCATCTATTCAGTAGGGCCGGTTTTCCATGTTCAGAGTCACATCGATCGAGCGCAACAGATTTGAATACGAAGCAGTGCACGATCAGGTAGCTAATGGTCATTACTAATTCACGGAAGCCTCTACCCAGGTGCCATTAACTCGAACGATTGTACCAAGATGTCCAATGCATGTACGTTATTGTGACTTGCAAAAGTTTTTGTACCTCCTTTCCATGGATCAAAGCGACTTCTCTATATAGTTCTAGCAATTCATGACTAGTATGTTGTTGATTCATCGCTCCTTATAGGTTAATTCACCGTGGTACGCTTATTTTGACACTTTGGTGCCCTGTATAATTAGGCTAAAATAGAACCCAAAAAGGTTAAAACAAGCGTACCACAGTGGACTGACCTATAGGCAGCGATCTGTCAACAATCCATGAGTCATGAGCGGAGAGAAGCTCTATATTTTCATGGTAAAGTTGTACAATTACTTTTTCAACGCACCGATAGCGGGTGAACGTAGCTCACCGTCTGCCCGATTGGATTCGTCCATTCTGAACACATTTTACGGTACACAGATATCACCTGTGTCGGTGGCAGAATTGCTTGCTGGCACACAGAGAATTAAATTTCGTTGACCGACTGTTTTGGTAGAGGCTCGGCCTCGCCGCCGCTGTGTTGCGGCTGAACGCTCAATGTAGTAAGTCTGGCCCCAAAGCGGGGCACACAACCCTGGCCTACCTGAGATGCAACATGTCACAGAGGCTGCGCCCTCTGGAAATGGTCTGCTGGCTAAACTTGAGCATGATATAAACTTATTGCATCTCATAGCTCTTGCCAGATACCATTTCGCGACTGTGCAGCTAGAAATCACGCAAACATTTCGTTGGTCTGTTACTTCGGTGAACGTCGGGTAAAATGCTGGGTCCCGACTTCTCCAACTTTGATCCGGAAAACCTACCTCCAAACGTGTCAATCGCTAGCAGAGGATTAATCGTTATGTTCTTTACCTTTGGTATAGCGCTCGGAACCCTTGCAGGAAGGCTGTATTGCCGGTTCGTGAAGACCCAAAAACCAGGATGGGATGATGCGACAATCACATTGGCCACAGCAAGTCTTCACATCTTCCGTTCGAACTCCATTGACACGATTAGATTTGCGCATTATTGGAGCTGTCTTTCAAAACCACTTTTATCTATTACGGGGAAGGAAGACATGTCCTCTACCTGAATTCGTACCAGATTGAACAAGCCTACAAGTACTCCCAATTGGTCCTGTATCCGTTCATTTTCAGCACGGCAATCACGAAGATATCCGTCGGATTCATGGTCCTACGCTTTTCTCAAACCAGAGCCATGCGATACTCCATGTACGCGCTTATGGCATCCCTTATTGTGGTCAATGGCGCATGCATTGTTGTTCTCTTGTCGTTCTGTCGACCCATATACGCCACTTGGGATATACGAGTGAAGCATGCTGTTTGTCTAAGCTCGAAAATCCTGTCGCTCGCCTCAGGCATACAAGGCTGTAGGTTTATTAGGGACCCGATAGAGTTCTCACAGTTGCACGTCACTAATTTTCTCAGTATGGTCCGTTGTTACCGATCTGATATGCACTTCATTGCCCCTGGTCATAGTATGGAAGCTCCATATGGGTCGTGAACAGAAGATTGCCGTTACTGTACTCGTAAGCTTTGGGCTGGTAACGACAGGCTGTTCGATTGGTCGATGCATATACTATGCGACGACAAAATTTCCCCCCGATCAAACTTGTCAGTGCAGCGATCACATGAGTCGACCCAAACTAATGTTCGCTAGGGAGCGGAATAGATCTCGCTGTTTGGACGTCTCTCGAAAGCAATATTGGCATATTTGCAGCGAACCTGCCGGCGCTCGGTGCCATGCTGAATTTGAAAAGCATAATCGTGAGATGCAAATGGTTATCTGGTCCAGAAAAATACCCAGATTTCCCGGCATGTGATCATATAGGCACTTCGTTGGATTCGCAAACGGCCTCAGCAAAAAGGACAGTCCAGGTAAACTGACGTAATATGCTACAATGATATGTACACAATGAAACTACATAGGACTAAGCTCAAAAAGATTGCCATGTTCAGATAGAGTGGCATGTTGCATTTATTGTGTTGTTTGACTTTAGTGCAACCGCGTCGGTCGCACAGTCATTTCTGAACTCAACACACCACTTTGAAACCACAATGGATGATATGCCAGGAACAGACATGCCAGGAAAAAATGCTGGGAGATCATGGTCAAGGGGAACGTTATGCAGTGGACCGTGAACTAATTCACTGTAATGGTATCAAAGTCGCCAGGAACACTCATAATGGTGACGTCAAGGTGGAGGCAGAGTCGTCGTTATTTGCGACGAGAATACGCGGGTCAACAAGGCGAAGTTCACAAGCGTGTAGGAAGATTAGTGAGGAGCGCTCATGGTCCGGCGTAGGCGGGGTCCCACAATACCAGTAAAGTTGAGCCACGCGCAGTACAGTGTGGACAACAGAATCCAGGCAGGGGTGGAGGAAGATGAGAGAGCGGCGTTGATCCATCTTGGCGAGGCACTAGATCGTTGAAGTATTGCACAGCAGGCACGCTGTCATATCATGCTATTATTCACCGTAATTTGGAAGGAACATGGTAGCAGGTTCGCAGGTGGGTGTCTAAGCTAGTGACAGGTACTGCGGTGCAATAGAGGGTGCAGATAATTAATTTCTCGCTAGTAATGAACGTAATAGAGTCTAAAGCAATCGAATCATATTTCTATTAAATTCAGAACTCAATGGTAGTAACTAGTATTTATAAACTAAGTATTGATATTACGTGTAACTTAAGATGGTTGGCGATTAACGCTAGTGTTAATAGGATCTGACTTGCTGCCATCTCTGCGCTTCGGACATAACTATGAATAAAAGCAAGAATGTTACTTATTTGCGAAGGTGACTTTACTATGCATCCTACTATTTGGGATATATCATGGTTTTAGGGATCTACGCTAACCCAAAAGCACGTGAATTAGGGGTGGCACTACTCTAGATGATAATAGGAGAGAAATAACACCTGCTTCGCATTGCATGTACGCGATGTTGGGGCGGGATGTACGACTACCTAACTGGGAAATATTAGGGATCAACACTCGAGGGCATCGTATACTAGGCCGTATTATATTCTACTGAAGGGTACAGTTTAGCTGTACATGGACTATATTATCCTGAGTTCTGATTAGTTTCGAGCGAGGAATTACTTTTACCTTCTTGGTTTATCATTTTCTTTACAATACTTAAAATATGTGTTCTTATAGTAATCCCATTGCAATTTTTATACTTCTATATCTTGTGACTGAACAAAAGCATATTTTAACGTTCTAGCCACGGTATATTCTGGGTTGTAACCAGTATCTTCGTGGTTACCCCCCAGTACCCTTGCCAACCTGAGTTGCCTCATCTCCGCACTTGGTGATTTGCCATGCGGAGTGCCTCGTTGGCTGGTAAGTGAGATAATTCTCGTGGCAACAGTCTCGGCATGGTACAAATCGTATCCCAATGCAAAGAGATATGTGATCCAACACAATGCGAGAATCCACTCGGACGGTGCGGAGAAGGATGTCAACTTGTAACATTTTGCTGTGGTTGGTAGAAGTCCCACAGGCATTGTGCAACCGTAAATTCCAAACAATGTGATTGCTGAGGCAGCTGGAACTTCAGTCAGCGTATATAATAGACTCTGGAAGAAATTTGAACATACGCGCTGCAACGATACCAATACACTTCTTCCATAGTTTTGCGAACAGAAGATATTGGTTCTTACGATCATGCCTTCGCATGCGGTAACTTAGAAAATAGTCCGACAGCTTCGCCGCGCCCATACACCATATCTGAATAGAGGTAAAGATAAGATGCAGATGATTTCCACTGTTTACACTTTCAAAGCTAAGCAACACCAAGAATACCGAGGATATGGTTCCGAAAAAGAGCTTTGCGGTACGGAACAACTTCCCGGGGGTTACATTTCGTCCCGTCCAAAAGTCAAGCAAGAAGGCTAGGCTGACGAGAGGAGCAACGACGCAAGCGAAACCGCGGAAATAGTTGAGTCTTACAGCACCAATACAGGATATGTAGGGGAAGGTGCTGTATGCAGGTCCGATCCTTGGGAGGCGGCCTTGGGTATCTTTCGGAAGTGTTTCGTAGTAGATCAAAAAGTACAACATCATCGAAAACCAGAAAGTGCCCGCCAAGATGGGAGGTGCAGCTCGTACGGCATTTCGGAAGATGAATCGCGACCTTGGGCTCTGAGTCTGAATATCGTAATAAGTGCGTGGTATCGATGGTTGCGGAAGGCGTTTTAGCAAAGCTTCGTTATCGTCGAATGGATCCGATCGTGCTGAATACATTTGTGTGAATGATATTTCTGGTTGCGAGATTTCGAATGGTTCGTCTTGCGTTTCAAGGAAAGATAAGACTACCCAGTTTATCAAAACGGCAAAAGTAGTGACTATAAATTGGTGATTGTTGCAGCGTTGGAGGACAAAATTGGCTAGTATCTCACCTCAAAAGCTGACCGAGATGGATTACCCTATGAAACGACGAGAATGGCATAGCCTTCAGGTTGCCGAGCTTACCAAGCATGAGACCATGGTCGAACGCATTCTAGCTCTTGAACTGCTTTTTTCAGCTCTCAATAGTGCTAGTATGCGCCTATCCAGATCTATCCATATGGCCGGGTTCCGATTTCAAGGCTGATAATCCCATACTAATTGATTCGGTCTAAAGTATGCAACCTCAGTATCCACGCTAAAGCAAAGCTTACATGGCTTAGCAGTGAACAGCCTTGTTCGTGGAAAATATTTAGTCTTTAGAATAGGCGGTCACTTGGCAATCCCTGGAAGTTTAATTGACGGCGGTTTCCCTAGGATTGAACAGCCGCATCCATAGTTGTAGGATGAACGAAGAGAAAAGTGAAAGCGTAAGTGATAGAAGAGCGTGTACACATTGGAGAACAACCGAAACTGTTTCGCTAGGAGCACTACATCTCATCATGACATGTGAGAGAAATAGGCTAAGCATCGAGGGCTGGAAAATGTTGCCTCTTTGGAGGTTATGCAAGTCAGGATGCGGAGAACCTTGGATTGGACAAAAATGGACCCACGGCGCTATCCGACCAGATACCAGCCAAACTTCAAGCAAGGAGCCTCACTCCGACATCTTGTGTGAGTAGTCATCACGCTACTTACGTCATGGTTCCGAACGATATCCTAGCTTACCAACTATCAACAGCCATGTTTCAACAACCAATCATTAGATCACTTTCTATGAGACAAGTGGTAGCTCGCTTGCCCTAGCAGCTCGCTTGCCGAAGACGGTAGTACTTTGTCTAGTTAGTCTTTAGTTCACGGTCCAGACTCAGGGCATAGCAGAGCTAGACGGCGCGTTGTGTACCTCGGAACCCAAAATCTCTTTCATCCCGTGGCTGGGAAGGAAGCACATAGCTAAATAATATATAGCCGACCTTATGTAAGGGTCAAAAATAGAGGTCCTATATCCATAGTCCTCTATTTGTAATTGCCTTAATATTGCCTTTGTCTATCTTCATACTCTTGTTAGCCCAGTTTAATTAGAGACTTTGCTTTAAGCGCCTGAATTTTATGCGGACCGACCTCTTCCTTACCAATCTAGCTGACTGTCTCCCCTCTCGAACTTCTCTCACGAGCTTCACCCTAGATCCAATTTCTGTTTCCCCTTTATACCCGTATCGAAGACTACAATAGTCAAAGAGGTTGGAAAATGTCCTCACCAAAAGACACAGTTATCGAAATTATGGAACTCGAGGAGACCAGCCAAGTTCATGCATCTGGCTCAGCACTGCACACAAGCAGAAGATCATTAAGTGCAGATCACCAAGAGGCTGTTCGTTACGAGCCTTTCCGCCGACAAGGAGCTTACTCTGGGTTGTCTGGCGGAGATAGAGATGACGAAGAAGATCAAGGAAAAGAACAAAGCAAGCTACAAACCTTGGTATATAAGTTCACCAAGTCCATTCTACTTCGACGGCTACTTCTATATTACTTCCCACCAACGCTTCTACTTTTAATTCCTATCGTTATCACCGCAACCGTAGCAAAAAACGCCTACATTGGAGACGATGTCCGCGTTGTTGGCCTTTTCGTCTGGCTCGAGGTTATCTGGGCTATCTTCTGGGGCTCATGGGGACTTGCGTTTGTGCTCCCTTTCGTGTTTCAGTATTTCGCTGGCTTTTTTACTCCGGTCGCAAAGGACTATACCGATATTCTTAAAGCTGTCATCTTACCTATGACTGCTTTCTATTTTGCCTTGTTTAGCCGCGCAGCCACTCCATTGTTGTGTGTCTTTGATGAGGTGAAACCGGGGCGTTGTGATGATGATTGGATTATGATAATTCGGAGATTTCTCCTCGCCACAATTGCTTGCACGGGGCTGTTCTTCGTGCAGAAAGTTCTCATTCACTTGCTCACAGTCAACTATCGTAAACGACAATTCAAAGTTCGGGTTGAGGAAAGCAAAAGGACTACGCACATTTTGGCACAGATGTACGAAGCATCTGTCAGGTTATATCCTGCGTTTTGTGCACGGTTTGCCCCGGAAGATGACAAAATTCACCGATCCCAGACATTACGGGCAGCAGTAGAAGGTGGATTGCAGCAACCTCATCTGCGTAAGAGAGTGAACAAATTCTATGGAGCTGATGCAATGGCAGAGACGAAAGCCAGGCTCCAGGGAAAAGAAGTGCTCAAGGTCGGCTCTCCACGCTCCGTTGTTATGAAAGCACTTGAAAACGAACAAGCCTCTGAAGCTTTGGCTCGTCGCCTATGGTTCTCATTCTCTATGGAATCAGATGCTGTCACCGAAGATGACATTACACGCATCTTAGGACCAGGTCGGGAGGAAGACGCCCTAGACATATTCCATGCTTTAGACAACGATGAGAATGGAGATATCAGCCTTGAGGAAATGATATTTCTGTTCACACAGTTCAGCAGAGATAGAAAAGACATCGAAAGAAGTATGCACGACATCGGTCAGGCAATAAAGAGTTTGGACAGGATACTCGAAGTATTCCTGTTCTTTGTTTCTATCCTCCTCTATAGTAAGTGACTATTGTTTCCACCTTTCAGCGAGCAGCTTTGATAAAAATAATTACTATAGTTGCTTTCTTCAACGTCGGAGTTACTTCAACCTTAGCGACACTGTGGGCCAGTGTTGCCGCCGTATCCTTTGCAATCGCGACTACCGTGCAGGAATTCCTCGGGTCCCTGGTATTCTTATTCATTAAGCACCCATACGACGTTGGCGATCGTGTCGATATTAATGGATCGGAACTGATCGTTGAGCATATCTCATTGCTCTTCACGGTATTCCGTCAAGTGAGCACAGGGGGTATCGTCCAAATCCCCAACATTGTCAATAACCTTCAATGGATCAAGAACGTCTCTCGTAGTAAAGCAATGAAGGAACGGTACAACTTCGCCATCAGCCCGAAGACAAAGTGGTTTCAGCTTGAGAAACTCAAGTCTGAACTTCGGAGGTTTGTGCTGGAACCACAAAATAAACGGGATTATCAACCAAATATCGATGTTGAGCTCATCTCAATTGGAGATATGGAGAAACTGCATTTACGCGTTGAAATTTGTCAAAAGGTGATCATTTAAACCTAGGTGTAAAGACGGTTGCTAACTTGCTAAAAGTCCAATTTCTCCGATGAAGCTCTTCGTGCTTCTAGACGCTCAAAATTCATGTGTGCACTGTTCACCGCTTTGAAGAAACATTCGATAAAGAAGCCATGGGGAGGTAAACCACCCGATGCTGGGTCTTGGGAAAATCCGGCGTTTTCTGTCACAGTGACGGGAGACGACGCCGCCAGGGCTCGTGCAGAGTGGGAGGCCCGGGAAGAAGCAGATCGTGTGAAAAAGATGGAGAAACTTTGGTGGAACGGATTAGGAAAAGAAGAGAAGAGCAAGTGAAAAGTACTTCAATTGCAAATGACTAGACGCTCTGGCATACGGGCAAATTTTTGAGATATCTCTTTGATTTGAATTAAATGAGGAACTATATTTGCTATTCTACAGTGTAACCCGTATCGCGACTACCATCGCATTGCTAGAACTCCCCTCATTCCCGCTCCCCATGCCCGCTCTCAAACCACTTTGCATACTCCCCCTCCCCTGCCACTTGATAATCCAATTCCCAGACAATTTGCTATACTGCCATTGCCATCGCTGCGTATGCCAACAATATAACAACATTCGACCACTAATGATGGCTGCCCTGCTTTTCCCCCCGTTGCGCAGTGCTTCTGAGTTAATCAGAATCGCCTACAAGTATGCCCTCCGCCCCCCTCGCTGATCTTCCGCCTAAATCCACCCATCACCCTTGCATCGTCTTCTAACTTCTGCTCGCGCCTCATTGTTTAATGTTCTTTCTAGATCTTCCCGTGTGCTGCTACTTTGCATTGCCTATAAAGCCTGCAAATCGCACGAAGCTGTTGTAGCTTATAAACGGCTCATCCACTGCTCCCACTCACAGTTGCGACTTTCCTGCTCATCCGGCCACTGCTTGATTCCATCCCCACACCGGCCACATCCAGTCAGCTCATCCACATCGCTGCAGCTCATCCCAGCCAGGCCCAAGTACCGGTTCATCAGCAGTCGTTGAAGGTCGCTGCCTGCTATGAACGTTCCCATTGCCTGCAGATCGATTCCTTCCTCTTCCTTGGCTAGACTCTGGTCTACTTCGCCGTGTCCTACTAGTATCACCGAGTCCACCGCCTCGCCAGCTCTTCTACATCGCCCCTTTTCTTGTGCAAAGTCGATCATGGTTCACGGCATCTCTACGTGCATAATTTACACTGTTCCCGGGTAGTCCACGCCGTTGTCCAGCGTTGACATGCAGGCGAGAATGGTGTCACAAGGGGTTTCCACGTATCTATCCGTAGGTTCGGACCTTACGGGTATTCAGTAATTCGAGCGTGAGGGATAGTGGTACCAAAGAGGGTTGTGTGAATATCCTATACCGTATGGTAATACGATACAACAATTATTAAGAGAAGACTAATAGTTCGTATAAAGATGAGTGGCTTCAATTTAGATATGAAAGTAAGCTTTCGAAGTTAACTATGAAGAATAGGAAACGTTTAGATAATGTCCTCGACTATATACTAGTCGTCCCATCCTTCGTTCTCCCGAGTAACTCTGTTATCCCGGTATAATCGTCCCTTGGCAATCCCGACAGGTCAAGCCGTCTCTTTGTTGCTTACCATCAGCTTCATCTCTGGTCGCGTCATTTCCTGCCGACTCCCTGTTTGTGTTTCCTGTGATCGTAACAAATGGGATTGGAAGTTACAGTTGTAAAATATAAGCTTATAGTAAAAGAGAAAATAAACTAAGTTGGAACAAAACTAGGCTAGAATGAATGTGTTTCCCGTTATACGTAATGCGGATAGTCTTTAAACCTTAAAAGAAATAAGGTCAAAAACAGTCCCAAAGCCAGTTTGAACATGGTAGTGCTGGGTAACCCTGACTCTTACCCTGACCCTAACAGCCCTCCAGCCAGGTGCATGCCGTGCAGGGGTTCCCGCCGCACAACGTGCCCCCGCAGGAACTGAGCTTCATGCACCGTTCTCCCTCATTCTGGAACTTGAACCTGGCGGTCCAGCTGTTTGTGTAAAGGCAGAGGTACTCCTGCGTGTAGACCCCGGTACCGAAATTGCAGTAGTCGTACCCTGCGTTGACGCCCCTGTGCCAGTTCCCGTCGTTGTACTGCCAGTCGATAGTAAAAGGAGCGTCGCGTCCTGCGGGAGGGGAGGCTGCTCCCGCCCAGTAGTAGGTCTGCATGATGTCGGCGGTCGCGATGCGGCCGGCGACGAAGAGCATGAAGGCGGGGAGCTTGGAGAACTGCATCTTGCTAGTTGCGTTGTTGGAGAGAAGTGCACGCAACAAAATGTTACGAATGATTAAGAGCGGGCTGTTTCAAAGGAGAGCTTGTTCTGGTGTCGGCTTGATGGATGATGAGACAGTGCTGGAGTTAGAGCTGGTGGAAGGCGATGGTGGAATGAGTGCTGGATAGAAGGAGAAGAGAGGAGGCATTGGTAACCTTTATAGAAATTTGAAGCGGCGCCCTTGGCTAGAGATTTGCGACAAAGTAGTCAGGGAAGCCTCGGTCCTCGCGCACGCATACAGCTATCACAAAGGGTAATTCCGTAGCCTTAATGACGCCTGCATGCTGCAAGTGTAATTACCGAGTCCTTGCGCGTATAGTTAGCGCGAAGGGTGGTTCCGTAGCCTTAACAACGCCTGCATGCTACTAACTGTAACTGAAAAGTCGCCACACCATTAATTGGCTGCGTGAGAGTTGAGGGGGGAAGGATGAGTTTATTATACGTAAATATGCAGGCCATATTAATGGATAAATGTTACACCTTTCTTTCTATAGGGCTATTGGTTTGCCTTTTTTATTTGTCCTTTTATTTGTTTGCCTTCTTTGTTTGCCTTCTTTGTTTGCCTTCTTTGTTTGCCTTCTTTGTTTACCGCCTTCCTTGTCCCACTAAGGATTAGGTAATGTTCCACGGTGTCCCACACGCCAAGCTATAGGATAGTAGGATTACGTGACAAGTTATATAACTATACTATAGGATCCCATATATCTCATGTATAGGATCTTAAAAGGACTATAGGATTCTATAGGATTATTGTATATATATAGGAAATTAAGTATAAGCTTATTATAAGGGGTTTTCACGTACCTAACCGTAGGTTTGGACCTTGCGGGTTGTCAGATTCACATAGTGATTTGATGGATGTCGGTGATCTGGAGATGAGATGAATTGATTGTTTTATCGTATACGTGTGTTCTGCCAGCTTTTATTAGGTTCCTATCAACTATCCCTTGCTTCGGGGCTAGGTGTCCAGTAAGGGCTGATGGCTAGCTATCCCTGCCACCTCCTACCCGGAGTACTGTCCATACCAAGGTAACTTCGTAGGCCCTTATCTAATAATAGTGAGATACTTAGTATACGCCCTTATATCTAACACACCCCCTCAGCTTGGTGCGTTGTCGCTACCTAAGCTAATTAATTGGGCGATTAATCATTAGAGTACTTGGTGAAGGTAGTCCTATATCTTGTTAAGTGGTGTAGTTCTTGTCACCTCTACACTCGTTACGTTAACTAGGCCTAGTTGATTGAGCAGGCCTTGCCATTTGTTGGCTGGTAGCACCTTTGTGAGTCCATTGGCAATTATATCGTCCGATCTAATATACTCAACGGTGATCGTCCTAGTGGTGACCTCTTGTCTTAGCTAGTGGGTGTGGATATCCACATGTTAAAGCTTAGTCTAGAGTTTTAATACTTCCTATGTGACCAGTCGAATTGTCTATTTATTATCACATTAGATTGTGATTGTGGTGCTAGGCAGGTTAATCCTTAGTTCCTTTAATAATTAGGAGAGGTATATTGCTTCCTTAGCCACTTACGCGAGGGCTAGGAGCTCTACCTTAGTTATTAACGTTATAATGGTATCCTATTTGTTTGCTCACTACGCGATTAAGCCACTAAATAGCTTAATTATATATCCTTATAAGCTTTTCCGATCTAGAGTATTGTTAGTAAAAGAGGCATTACTAGTAACCTAAAGGGTATCTCCACCTCCTAGCTATAGGGCTTTTTACCTTATTACTC